GTGAGTTCAGGCAAGACAAATTCCGGCCCATGTCCGGGCCATCACCCGATCGAGCTCGACCGGAAGGCATGCGAGTCGTGGGTAGAGGGTGCGGCGTAGACCAAGGCGACGGCTTCTCTCGGTGAAGTAGTCGGGATCGCGCTGGGATGCCTTTCCAATATCACGGACAGTGGCAGTGTCGCGAGGGCGTTGGCGTTCCCTGGGAACATGGGCTCGCGTGCAGAAAGAGGTGTGCGGGGAGGTGGCCTCGGTGGCTCATTGTACCATGCACGATAATTGGACTTATCGTGCATCGCAGAATAGGATTTCGGACCCCCGAACAAGCCGACCCGAGAAGGTTGCGATGACCGCAGTGTTGCCCCCTCTGCGTCATGACCACACGAGGCCCTGTGGTGCCTACGCGAGGGCTATGAATGCCGGCCGGGTCTCTTCGAGCTGGTGGAGGCTGGCCCTGAGAGACCAAGACATCGGCACTGAACAGGAGTGACCGTTTCCAGGAAATGCGAAGCTCATCCTGGGCCTTGGGCGGAAACCCGGACCGGCCGTCGCGTCCCCTTGTGAAGACCACGGCGCTGGTGAACTGGCCCCCCAGCGGTGATGCAGGACGGGTTGCTCCGGCGCTCTGGTGGGGCGACGTCGAGGTCACGCGGCGCGTTCAGGCGGCATGCAGTCGTGAGATCAAGAAACCAGGCGTCCGAGGAGGAAGCAGCGCTCTACCTAGGGCCGGCGCCGTGGAAGCCCTGCGTGCAATCCGGCAGGAGCGGTAATCGACCCTGGGCGCCAGCGTGTTCGCGGCTGCCGGTCGGCCAGATATCCCCGAGAGGATCAAGGCGGCGACGAAGATGGCGGGCCTGGGCGACGGCTCAGCGCTCACTCGCCCTAGGGCTGCGACCAAGTGATTTCGCCGGTGGTCTCCAGACGGAGACCGCGGATCGGAGCAACGGTCTCTGACCGCCGGACGTACCGAGGGGACAGAAACGCGCGGGCAGCGGGCTCTAATGAAAGTCAGCCGTGCTATGCTTTCAGGCATATAGACGCAACTAAGCAAGGTGAATGTACATCTCGCTAGACCGCACTATCGTGCCCACCAGTTGAGGCCCATAGGTGATATGAGGTGACCGTCGGAGTCCTTGGGGTCTCGTCAATCTCCCCGAAATGGCACATCCCACCTTGGTATTGGTTATGCGTCGAGCTAAGGAAGGAGCACGGCGTGAGTTCGCCGGGCTCTCGTGCACTGTAGAAATGTGGGCCGGGAAGCCCGCGTGCGGGCTAGACGAACCGCCCAGGCCTTCCAGTGGCCGACCGCGCAGGAAGGCTTCTGGCCCGCCGTGGACGATGTTGTCACAGGCCAGGACACATGATAGTCTCTTTCGGCTCGGGATCCGAACCGGACTCAGGCTCATGGTGGCGCTCAACTCCTCGTCGGTCACGGAGGACATATAGTCACGGACAGATGCCTTCATGGCCTCGTATTACCCTTTGTTTTCACAGCCAGGAACCCAAATATTGAGGGAAGTTGCCACGAGGCAAGGAGCGCCGCGTCCAGGAATGGATAGTTTTGTCAGATCTTTTCCTTTATTGAGTTCTGACTCCTAGGTAATGGGCCTCTCCATGAGACAGGCCCTTCTTCCGAGTGACCGGTAAGGTATACCCTGACGTCGTGCTATTTGTGAGCATTTTTGAGCGTGGGGGCGAATGTCGGATTCGAGGTGCACTGGAGCTCAGAGATGGAGCGTGGTCGATTCCTCCGAGCTGGTGAGGAGAATGAAGTGATGGTGGACGAGAAGTTCAAGGGGGAGTCTCTTATTCACTGGATATGATACCATGATCCAGCAGTAATTGGGAGTGTGGGGGTGGATGGGAAGATTATCAGACCCCAAGAGTGTCACAATTTAAAGATAGTGGTATGCAGCTTGGACCCAGTCTCCCACGAGTGGTCAGCGGAGAGTATGGCCGCGGGCTTCCAGGAACTTAGCCAGCCCGTTGCGGCAAACTAATATTTCGAGGGGTCTCTTACCCTTTTTTTCTAGTTATTTTCTCCCCCGCTATCCCCTGTTCCTCTTCCCCCCCGCCTCCCCCCACTCCTTTCCTTCCTCTCGTGTTGCGCTTCTCCTTCCTTCCCCTTTTTCTTCCGTTTCTTCTTTTTCCCGGTATTTTGTTGTTCCTCCTTTGTCTTCCCGATTTTTGCCTTTCCTGTCCTTGAATTCGCTGCGGTCGAACCTGAGCGGTGGTATGCAACAGTTTTGAGGCTCTGCTGGGATGAGGTGACGAAGGGGTGAAGAAGCTTGTCCATAGGTGAGCCAAGGTAGCGTTGGTGATGGCTGATTTCCCAGTGCCAGTGGGGCCCACCAGCAGGAGAGGAACACCGTGCCTCGTAAGGGCGTCCAGAAAGTAGGTCTGTCTGGCAGTGTCTACAGTGGGGATGATGAGCTCGGTGACCTTGGCTCCTGCTGGGATGGAGGCATTTCTGTCCAGAAGGTCCTCCCAGGGAGCCCAGACCCCGCCCGTCTTCTGGAAGAAGTAATCAAACACTGTGTCCCTCTCAGGGAGAAGGTGGTTCTGCAGCGTGAAGAGAAAAAGATATATATAGAGGGAGAGTCTTAATATATTGATCAGACCTTGGCCAGTTTGATATTCTTGGGGCGAGGGTGCTGCTGATCAGTACCAGAGATGAGGGTGCGGTAGAAGACGTCAAACTTAGTCCTAGAGTCTCCAACGAGGGCTCCCCCAAGAGACCAGACCAGGGAGAAGAGGAAGAGACAGGGTAGCCACACTAGACTCTGAAAACAGGCCCTCAGTCAGGTGTAACACATGTGTGTTCAGTGTGAGAGCCGTACCTGAGACTGTGGAACAGACTCCATGCCATCAATGAAATCATCGAGGAGACAAGTGTAGAGCTGAAGAAGACAGCGGACTCTGTGCAGAGCTGAGGTGGTCACAAACAGTCGGCAGTCGTGTCGAATGAAATCGAGAGCAGGCTGGACCAGCCAGTCAACCAGTCCCTGCACCAAGCTGCGGTTCTCGTCCATCAGCTTTGAAAACAGATCTCTGTTCTTTTCTGTGACGGCGTCAGGGATGGAGGTGAGGTAGGAGTCTACCAGAGGCTGCCACCCCAGCTGCACACACACACAGTCTCCTCAAGACGTATGCAGGCTACAATGTCTGGCTCACTTGGTGAGGCTCCATGTAGATCATACCACATCTACTGACAGTGGCAGGTGAGGCCACCTCAAGGTCCTCAGGCTCAAAGATCAAATTCTGTTTGCCTGTCATCTGCACAATCTCCCCACTCATTAGACACAGCTGAGGCACAACACAATTCGTACAGTCACTATGAAAACAAATCTACATCTCGTACCTTCTTGTTGTCATCAAGAGCTGTGTTCATGTTCTCAATCCAGATAGCGTCAACTGGCCCATCGAATACGATCCACTTCCGGTTTTCATCAGTGGCTGAGGCCTGTTCCTTGAAGGCCGCGGCCAGAACTCCGTCTGACCACTCGTGGGAGACTGGGTCGAAGCTGCCATACAACTGCTGTATGGTGACACTCTTGGGGTTGATAATCTGCAAATCCACCTACACACCCAAAGTATGTGGATCATGGATCAGATCAAGTGAAGAAGAGACGCACCTTGAACTCCTCCAGCAGTCCAGACACATTGAGGTCTGCAAGAGCAGCTGCCAGTACCTTGTATGCTGATGTTTTCCCTCCCATCGCATCTCCAACAATCATGAACCCGTGCCTCACTAACATCATCTCATAGATCTGTGGTGGAGGGGGAGTTGGGTGATAGTAAACGAGAGAGAGAGAGAGAGAGAGATCTCACCTCAATGATCTTGGTGATGAACCAAGGCACAGGCTGCAGCTCCATCTTTGCCATGTTGTCACAGAGAGCATCTGTCAGACTGTCGTAGTCCGGTTTGGGAAGTTTAACGCCAGGGAAAAGGTCAGAGGTGATCCCAGCAAACAGGGGTAGGTCGTGAGCAAGGAACTTGGGCAGGTTGACATCATTGATGGCTCTGAGCAGCAGAACACTCTCACTCTCCTCCGGATACTTGAGCTTCAGGTTACCGGCTGCTGTCAGGACTGATTTGACTGCCCGCATCCCTGCACACATACAACACGGTATGGTACTGTATATTACTATAGTCATTAGAATACGTAATATACCATAGTCATAGTGGTGCTGGGAGGAGAGCTGCTCGGAGCACAGTTTGTAGGTGGCCACAATCTTGGCTGACAGACTGCGAGCATCAACGAAGCCCATGGAGTAGAGCATGATCTCTCCGATCAGAGCATAGTCTGGAACCATCATTGCCACCGTCCGGAACAGAACCTACACCCCCACACCCACATCATGAATGACGGTGTATGCGGAGGAGGACCTAACCTTGAGGTTGTCGGGCAGCTCCTGTCTGCCGGCGTAGCCTGGGTTCATGGTGATGAAGACAGTGCAGGAAGTGTCGATGGAGATCTCTGTGCCCTCAAAGACAAACCTCTCCACCCCTTGGTTCACGGCCACCTGGATGCTCTGGATCTGCTGAGCTATCACTGACAACACCTCCAGCTCAATGCGGTTGAACTCATCGAAGCAGGCCCACGCTCCTGCCTGTGCCAGACCCTTGAAGAACTTGCCCATGGCCTTGTAGTCCAGTCCATCTGAGCAGTTGAACACCACACACTGCTTGGCCACTGCCTTGGCAAGGTCTTTGCAAGTCTCGGTCTTTCCCGTGCCTGCAGGCCCCTCAGGAGCTCCTCCCAGGTGCAGCTTGAGGGCCCCCATCAGGGTGCGATAGCATCTGTCAGTTAGTGGAGTGATCACCAGTCGCCCTGTGTTACCAAGGTACTCGTATCCATAGGGAACATCGGTTGTGATCATCCTCACGACAACCCTCCCCTCCTCCAAGTAGTAGCGTAGCTGACTGATCCACTGGAAGTCCACATCAGATGCAACTCCGTCACTGTACAGTTTACTGACCACGTCTCGAGCTGAACAGGTAAGGTATTCCTCACATACTGCTACATACAGTATGAGAGCCACGAGGCTCACCGTGGACATCCAGCACAGTAAGAGCTCCGAGTGTGACTCTTGCCATCTTTGGCAGTTTCCCTCTCACCTTCTCCACAATCTGCTCAATCTGACGGTTGCTGAGGTCCAAGTACTCCTTCAAAAGTGGACGTGAGCTTTATGCACAATTGTTTGTAACTGCTAACCCTCAGCGCAGAACTCATGGTACAGTACGTATCACTGAAGCTTGTGCATGGGAAATAATCACACACGGAAATTTCAAAATGATGATTAGATAGCTAAAATGGCATGTAGATATTTTCCAGCAGGATCCAAACTCGCTCGCAACTCGGACAGCTTCGTAAAGGGTGGCTTAGAACGCTAGGCCCACTGGGCAGAATGTGCAACATAATGCCCGTGCGTACGCTATAAAACGCATGTTTGTCAGTCATGACATAGTGGCGGACCTGGCAACGCTAACAAAACGCGCCCTAACTTTTCAGGTAAGTAGTTTCAAAAAGCGACTGATTATAGGTTTTATAAGCAAGTAAGGGTGGGCACCGATTGTAAATATGGGTGTTGTATAATTATGATATCCTGTGTGGTAAGCAATAACAAACAGCTGGAGGGTTTGAATGGAGGAACTGGAAATCCTTTGCATTATGATGCTGGGATCAGGTTCGATTGATTAGGAACCACGAGATAGCAATATCCTAGAGATCATGCTATTATGGCATGTCACTGAACCATACCCCATGCCCCATCCCCTATTCCCCATATCCAATCCCTGGACAGACCTTGAGAGTCCCATTCCTGATGGCAGCCGCCACATCTCTGGTCCAGTAGATGGAGGTTCCAGCAAGCACCACCTGTCCCGGCCACTGCACCACCCATTGCACACGAGACTCGTCCTCGTAGGCACCCACTGCCTGCTCCATCACATCCTTCAGACTGACTATCATAACCTCCTGCACCTGTAGCAGCCATTTCTCCACCATCCCCTGCACACACACACATACAAGAAAAAAATTAAGCGTTAAAGTGTATACTGAAAATGCGAGTTAGCCTAGTTACCTTAGCATCAACTGGTATGATGGTCTTTGAGAATGGAACAGTCTCTTTCTCACTACTGATCATTCCAGTGACATGCTGCTCCTCGGTGAACTGCAGTTTAGCAATTCCCTCAAAACACTTCTTCAGATGAGGCTGGACCCGAAGTGGGTCTTTGGTCTCAGACAAGATTTCCAGCAGCTCGTCATTTGAAAGGAAGAAAAACCTGCGGTGTGGTGTGAAGACTAGGGTGAAGTAAGGTTCAAGAGAGGGAGAGCTCACCGAGGAAAGTACAGCCTCTTCTTCTCCAGGTAGTCATTTAGACCTTTCTGTATCTCCTCCAGAAGCTTGTTGGCTTTCTGGAGGCGACCCAGCATGTTCTCCTGACTGGTCACCACCAGAGCATGCGCGTCCTTCACTGATTCCGTCATGATGTCTCTCCATGTGCGGTCCACTATTCCAAACTTGCGGCCCTCTTCTGGCATCTGGGCCATGATGTCCTCCGATGAGAAGATGGGCTCTGAAAGGTATTAAGGTCTGAGTGAGGAGGTACAGTGCCTTACACTGCCCACCAAGATAGAGCCACGTGGCCTGGCATTTCAGCCAAGCATCCATGATGTCCTGGATGAGCATCAGTTTCTGTTCCCACTGTTTTATATCCTCCTCGAATGGTTTGATGAATGGAGAGCCTCTCATGGTCTGCGTCTTCACAATGTGATCGTCCAGCAAAACTTGCACGTCATCCACCGCAGACAAGATGGATATTCCCTGCACAATACACCATCAGTATATAACACCCTCTCTACCTCCAAACAGTTGGAGTGTGTAATGCAGAACCATATATACTACCACCACTGTTTTAACACATTCAATAAAGAGAATGTTCTGTTTTTAGGCTTAACCGTTCCCCATTATTAGTGAGCACATACTTTTTCAAACTCCTTGGCTACAGCTGAATTGCATGGGGCAAAATCTGATGTGATCCACCAACTACATTCGATTCTTAGATAAGCGATCAAAACATGCCATAATTACTCACGTGCTTGACTTACAGTGTCCCTGTACTCGAGGAAGATGAACTCCATCATCGCCCAGTCTTTCACCATCTTTTCCATGGCCTTCTCAAGGGAGTATTCTTTGGTGGCTGCAGCTCCTACCTCCTCTAGTCTGCATTCAAGAAATGAGCGGCAAAGCGACATAGGGCAAGATAGGAGATGGCTGTGTGCGAGGAAAGGAGAGAAGATACTAACTTCTCCAGGTGTTTCTGCAGGCCATAGCCCAGCATGGTGCTAAGGGGGGTGTCTGGGCTTGGTTTCAACTCAAAGCCAACAACCTCACTCATCTACAGAGAGAGAAGACCAGAGTCGGGCACACTGAATATGCCTGTTGTACGTACCCTCTGCCAGTGACGGTCACGGAGACCTTGATTGCAGAAGGTCTGCAGAAGAGGTAGATGCTCCTTGAACTCATTCAGCTTCATCTTGTACAGATCTGCTGAGCGCTTGGGTTGTGGTTGATCAGCGAATGTCCGTGTCAGTTTGTGCAATGTCCTCCACATGCCACTGACTTCCTCCTCCACCTTCTCTGCATCAATCTTCAGGAACGGAGCTGTAGATATGCAGGGATCATTTCCTCTCCCACTTAAACTGATACAATAAGTCACCGTTCATCCACTGCTCATGCTTGTCATAGTAACTGATGGCAGTATTCCATAGCCTATCATACGGCTCCTTGGAGTGGAGCACAGTCTGGATCAGAGGGTAGGGAGTCATTTCCCACTGCAGCAGCTCCTCCTCGTTGTTGATCTCCATCATCTCGGCCTTGCACTCCTCGACAGATACTCCCAGCCCTGCAAGCTCCTCTACCACACTCCTGATGTCGTCCACAGATCTCGGGATCTCTTTCTCCTGGAACTGCTCCACTGTAGCATGATACTCCTCCAGTCGGGCCTCGAACCTCTTCCTGCGATCCCTTAGCTCCTCCTCAACCTTCTCCCTCTTTTTCCCCATTTTTGCCTGGCTGACTTCGAATATAGGCTCCATCCGAGCCGGCCACTTGAATGTCTGGCTGTTCAGCTTCAGGTCTTCCTCTGGCAGGACCACAAAGTCCAGCAGAAACTGGAGCCTTTCGGCTGCAGTTCTCACCTCTGCCTGCAGTCTGAATACTGTGTCCTCACGAGACTGCACAGAGAGTATATATATATACACACGTCAGAGCCACAGAATCAGTGGTAAACAAATATAGACTTTAGTGAGGAACTGATCCAGGTCCACCATGTCCCCAGTGCTCTGAGGATCTTCATACACTCTCGTGGCAATGTCATCGTATCGCTGACACAAGCTGAGGGAGAGAAGGATCGGGAATGAGGACAGTAAAGGCAGAGCCTGGGCACTGACTCCTTGTTCTTATGTCTGTTGTCCTCCACCAGATGGGTGGTAATGAGTTCAGCAAGCTCCACAGTCATGCCAGAGAGAAGATCGTTGACCTGCCCACAGCTGAGGTGGAGCAGGTTCAGTCTGACTGACCTTCTCAGCTCTGCCAGCTCAGCACTGGAGCTGCGCAGGGACCTGACTCTCTGGTCGATGGCAGTAAATGTCACACTCAGTATACACCCTGACTGAAGTGGAGTACTACCTTAGCAAAAGCCGGGAGTTCAGGCTCAGAGCGCAGGAAGGCCTGTACCTCTCTGAGCGCCTGACCATCCAGGAGCTGTTTGTGCTCGTCATACACAGCAGCCACATACCTGGGAAGACATATAGCTAGAGGATGAACCGATGATGTTTGATGAGTTGTTCTAACTTGTGAGGGCCGCGCAGATTGCAGCAGAGCATGGCAATTGCCTTCTCTCTGGCTTCAACGACTGGCCCTTCCTCCACATTCACACAGGGCAGCTCCAGTGTGTGTCCCTCGAGCTCAGGGAACAACACATGCTCCACCTACACACAGGCACTGAGTTGGGGGTCCAAATGTATGGGTTCGGTACATACCCTTGGGAGGCCCTGAGCAGCCTCCACGATGGCAGAGATGAGTCTGTGGACCACAGCCTCAAGTTCAGACAGAGGAGGATCAAACATCAGCTCTGCCGCCTTCACCACCAGTTCCACATGGAACACCTAACACAACCAATACACAGTGGTTGGTTTCATTTCAATTCTTTGAACTCACTGGCTTATTGACAAACATGAGGTCTGTGTAGTCTCCTTCATAGTCATTGCCTCTCTACACCAATAGACAGAGAGTGGGAGGCTCACTGGATGGTCTAACAGCTCACAGCATAAGGCTCTAGCAGAGACAGGAAGTTGTCCAGAGACACTCTGACAGTTTGCCTCAGCTGCCTGACCATCAGCGTGGCTGCGGTGTTGAAGAAGTGCTCAGCCAGCACTGCTGACTGGTTGGAGTCCACTGGGATGAGGTGGGCCCAGCTCCCCTTCTCCCCCCTGAATACATCTCCACACTCACTCACCCACCTGCAGCCATCAAATGAATGCGAACTCTCACATCGGGCAACCTCACATGTCTCTGAGGGTGGTCCTAGCTTGTTTGCACTGGGCCCTGATCAGTTCTTCAAACTCAGCAAAGGAAAGTGGCAGCTCTGCATTCTGTAGAGCATCCACACCAACTAGGTGCACCTTACTGAACCTGTGGACCATGGAAGAGATTGAGGAGATGAGTTGTAGGGAGATAGAAGACACACTTGTGCTGCCAGAGCTCTTGCAAGCCTCTCATGACGCTGTTGGTGGTAAACAGCTGCTGGGTCTGTGTGGAGTGGACCTCCAGCCATGTGCCATGCCAAGGAACTGGAGCCCGCGCTACTCTCGGCTGGTAGGGGATAGGAACAGCTCGAATTCTCAGCCTCGCCAGTTCAGAGCGATCTTGGAGGATGTAGTCAACAATACACTTCTGCAGGCTGTGTTTATAGTCCTGCAGTAGGACATGGTAATCTATTAGGAGACCTGCCGGTACTGCTGGACCTACATACGTACCTCCACAATCTCCTGGTGCAGGGATTCAATGAGGGCTGCCCAGTCGGGATTGGCCAGTAGACTTGGATCAAGATGTTTGTGGACTGCTGGCAGAGTGTCTTCTGGGAAGGGGGCTAAATCTTCCTCACTCACACCCTCCCTCACGTAGTAATGATACCGCTGCATTGGAAAGACTGTACTCAAGAAGATCACTACCAGTCATCTGGGTACCTGCAAATTTGAACTGCATGGCCCCTTTGTGTCGGGAGGAGTGGTGAGGGTCTTGTGCTCCTCAATCCTCTGGAACTGCTGCTGAGGGGTCAGAGGACGGGAGGGAGAGGCTCTCACTCCAAGGGTTTTGTGGTAGAGAGGTGGCATGGCTGGAGGAGGCAGGGGAGGGAGGGAATGATGCCGAGTGGGGGCTGCAAAAGAGTCAAGGAGAATGCAAACTGCTTGGATTTTGGATTTTCTTTGTTAAAGATGAGGATACAGTGTGATCTGGTTCTCCTGTGGAGATGGTGCAACTTTAGGTTGTTGGCTGAAGGAGTGAAATTGTTGGCAATGGATTCCGATGGGGAGCGGTGGTGCCTCATTTCCTTGTAAGGAGCTGCACGGGTCCAAGACATAGGCTTCATCAGAGGTGGATTCTCCTGGTTCTGCAGCACCAGCTGTGAAGTGATTGGGCACTAGATCATTGATTGGTGTAGACAGTGGCCTAGTGTTAATTACCTTGTAGAGAGGAGAAGGCCGGTCATGTGTGGAAGGAACGGCAGGAACGTGAGGCAGCTGTCTGCGAGCACGGGTTGCTGGGTTGGCAGCCTCCAACTTCCGCTGTCCAGCGAAATCATTGGTTTATTCGACATACATAGTCTAGAGCTACCTGTATTGCATCCATGGGGCTCACTGCATTCGTCGATTCACTTTGCAATCCGACCTAACATCCACCTGCACCAGCGCAACAGCGAAACATGTTTGCTAAGAAGTCACTGTTGCTATGAAACCTGACTAAGCCACACCCACTTCCTAAACGTTCTACATTCCATTCTGACACGGAGCGAAGACGGACCGCAGAGTCAACTGCTGAAGAAGAAACGATGCAGAGTCGTGTAAGCATGAAAGCCATCAACCAGCACATTATGTGCAGCCTGTGTGCCGGCTATCTCGTCGACGCCACCACCATTACCGAGTGTCTTCACACCTTCTGTAAGACGTGCATCGTGAAATACCTGCAGACTTGCAACAGTTGCCCCATCTGCACGACTGTTGTTCACGAGACTCAGCCGCTGCTTAACCTCCGCCCAGACAGAACCATGCAAGATATTGTCTACAAGCTGGTACCGGGGCTCTACAAGGAAGAAAGAGAAAGACGAGAAAGATTTTACTTGGAACGAGGAGAAGCCGATCCCAATTGTCGCCCACCTCCGATGGACCCGGTGGATACGAGCACCGAGTTTTCTCAGAACCACTTCAGCAGAGATGAAGACCTCTTATCTCTGCAGGTCGAGCCACACTCAACAGTTGCTGACTATCCTTCAGTGCAGTTGCAGGAGCTGACTCGGAAGTTCATGCGCATGTCTTCCCGTGCAGCAGTTCATCAGCTGAAGTGGTTTCTGGTCCACAAACTGTGTGTGCCTGCCCTCTATGAGCTCGACCTGGTGTGTGACGAAAACATACTTCACAAAGACAGCACTCTCAAGTTCATCTGGCTCTCGTACTGGCTGAAGAAACAGCCTCCTCTCATCATACACTATAAACTGAAGCCCAGACTAGTCTGACACTCATCTGCTTCATGTATTCAACAGTGATAGAAATAGTCATGCCATGCAATAATAAGGACTACAATTTAATGAAACAGTTTTGTTTGTGTGCAGGTGGAGTCATGAGGTGATAGGTGTATCAATGTCATCCCTGGAAGACTGGTCATAAAGTGCCTCAAATACTGGCACTGGTTCTTTGCTTTTCTTGGACTTGTCCACAGTGGAGTACTGCACAATCTGGGGGTCTGAGCGGTGCATGGCTGGGCTCGAACCCTCTTGCTCACTTGCCCGGCCTTGCAGATGTGGCAGCATGTCGGATGCTCTGCGGGCCCTGGTCTCCGCCTTGGTCAGGTTCTCTGAGGCTGCACGGGTCCTTTGCCCCATCCTCTCCAGATCATAGGGAATGCTTTCATAGGTGTTGGATTCCTTGCTGCTAGCTCTGAGTGGGGGTAAAAGGGAGAGGCTAATTGGATATGCACAGTGGTAATACAAGGGACTATCCAATGTCTGTGGGACAGGGGGGAGAGGTATACTGAAAGGCTCTGTTTTCATAATACAGCTGGAGCTTAATGGCACACTTGCTTAATAATTAGGCTGTTTATAGTCTGTGGCTAACCCGTCATAGATAGGGTTCCGGTACTCATTGCTGCTGGACACCGTGCCAGTTCTCTGTCTCTGGGGAGGAGTGCGAGGAACATCGTACATGGTGGCTCTTGGCATGTCGTAGTGGAAGGAGTCGCTGTCACTGCAAATGCTCTCCTTCCGAGACGACGTCGTTCCATTGGCAACAAATGCCCTTTTGATAAAAACCATGGAGACGATGAATGCAGGCATAGTTCAGTGATTGATGTCCTTGCTTACTTCTGTTCATTTCCTGGCTCAATTGGCACGGGAACATTTCTGCGGCCAAGCACTTTTACAGTCACACCCTCTTTGTAACTGTGGTGTTACAGTAGTATCATCTATATAGCATTTTTTAGTTGGAAAGGTGCCCATTTCTACTGTAGCCTCCAGCAAAGCTCTCATTAGGCCTAAGCAGCATTAATAAAAACATACCTCTTTCCAATCTGCTGTGTTTTTCTGGCCACAATTATGTAGCAGCAGAGAATTCCGATGCCAACAATCACTGCACACAGCACAGTAGCAGCCACTGCCACAGGCACTACAACTGTCATTATCCTCTCAGTGCTGATAGAGGCCTCAGTGTCAGGGATGGCTGGCTGGGTGCAGGGTTGACTCGGTAGCCCAGTGGGCTCAGGGTAGGCAGTGTTCATGATCATCATTCCCTCGTTAGAGCTAATTAGGCAGGGCTGGGTACCCACACCATCGCCCGGCTCTCCCCCATCTGGAATTACCATTGCTGTTGACAAAATGGCAGGGATAACTCAGTTAGGGAGGTAGGTAGACATGCCCTGTTGCCAACTCATTAGTTTTCCCTCGGTAGACATACACAAAACCTGGCATCTAGCACCCTACTCCATTCCATTAGTACTAGTCATTGTTGAGAATGGAATCTGGTGTAGCTGTTGCATGTCCATAACAATATTCCTCCATACCTTCTCTGAAGGTGCAGCCTAAGATCCGCAGGATCCAGCAAGACCTGTTACTTGAATCAAATATAGAGTGTCGGATATCAAGTCGCAACCTCTCAGCTACCAGCTGCCTCTCCAGGCTGAAGTAGGCTCCATCGAAAAGGTTCCCGTTATGTTGCACAGTAAACACCTGCGAGGGCGTACAACGGAAGTCTATTCAGCTCTCTCATCTATTCACTAGTGTGCCTCCCACATGAGTAATGACTGGACAAATGCACTGTGGTCATGGCCACAAGGGAGGGCTATAGACCTGTGTTATTCATATTACAATGTGCAGTAATGGAGCATGCATGGTACTTGTACCTGAGGCATTTGGAGAAATCCATAAGGCATAAAGACTCCAGCCTCTGACCCCAGAGCATACTGGATGCTGAACTTGTCCACAAAGCTGTTGTAGTATCCGTCAGACTCCAGAAAAGTGATGACCACTGGCTCAGTAAACGTCAGGTTGATGTGTAGGTTAGGCCTCAAAGCATCTCCAAATTCACTGCACCAGGGCTCTGTGCTTTTCTTGATGAAATGATCAATTGTGTTCATCTCTGCATTTTCACTTGAGGCTTGCACATTATGACGTGGTAGCAGTGTTGTATTGTAAGAGAGAAACTGCAACTTGTTCACTGGGCAAACTGTAGTGTAATATGAACAAAGATTAACACCTGAAGTATAATCTGCTGCATTGCACAACTGGTTCCATGGCCTACCTGTTAGTCCACAGCTGAGACCAGTACAGACAGCAAGAATCACACACATCCACTGCAGCTTCCCCATTACGGCCTGCCTGTACTGCAGCTCAAATGTTGCAATTCAGCCTCACAGATCTCGACAATACTGAGCACTGCAGGCCAAGGCGTCTGCCTTTGAACAGTTCCAGAACACTACTCAAATGAACAGATACCACATTCCATTGTACTCCATGGAAACACGTAATTGCAGTAGCCAAGCCTCTAAATGGTGGTCGGCGTGACTGGCTTTTGGCTCATAAGTGGCCAGTTATGAACTGGCTGAAAGGCATGCAAAGCGATAGCACAGGTGTCCAAGACTCTGTAATGTAACGGTAACACCAAAAGTGTTCTTTGACATACTGAAGTATGTAGTTTTTTCAGACACAACTCAATGCAGAGAGGATTCCTTAGCAAAGTGTAACCTAAGGTGCATTAGAAGTCTCACTACACTAATACAGGTAGTTTACAAATATGGCCTTGTTATCCACTGATATTGGCATAGGTAGCAAGGTAATTTCTGCACCCTGAACTTGACACATTCAATGTGAAGGGAGGATTTTTATGCTTAATAAATGATATGTCTAGCACATCGAAGGTGGGCATTGAGCTATTCAGGTCAATATGGCTCAGCCCACAAGTGAACTTGTCAGCACATGTCACTCTCTTTCTATACCTTTCATGTCCTTCTCCTCAGGCAATTTGTTGACTCACACACTGTTTGACAAACATAGTTGTGTTCTGCTTTGTTTGGAACAGAAAGTGCTATTGAGTTAAAGCGTGAAGCTACAGATGTCAGGCCATTAGCAACCTCAGCATTCATGCTGGAAGAACAAAGCCAAGAATTACAAAAAAGGCATTTGTGTATCCCGTTCATGAATTACCAAATACATTCCAGATCTCAGCACAATTGGCTCACACATAAAGGTGTGTGCTATCAGTGATTGTTTAAATCAATATTAATGCACCTCCACTGGTGCTCATGACTAATAGTTGCTAGTGTCGAAAGATGGGATTGGCTGCCAGATCCAGCTGTTGGCGTAAGATCGGCTCTCTTGCTGTTGCTTTTTTCTTTTTATTGTCTCTCCACCCTTCTTCCGGGGGTGTGATCAGGACTGGGCAGGGGTGTCCAACATTAACATAGGACGCTCCAATATTCACATAGTGTGGTGGTGGCCTCATTCAGCTGGTTCTTGCAAGAGCCCACCCTCTCAGAGGAGAGGATGGGCTCCTCACTGCCTTGAAGGTGGTGGGTGGTAACAGTTTGGTATGCGCCAGTGGAGCTAGACTTCGTTTTGAGATTGCATGTTTTCTCCTGGAACCTTGGAACTTGCACTGTATTGAGAAGAAAACGTTTTTAGAACGTAGAATGTGGAAATATTGCTAGCATAGAGTGCTGTCAGGGTGTCTTCTAGTCCTGGTCTGTTCTGATGATCTCTGCTGTGACAGATTTCTGTTTGAAGGGTTTGGTCTATAGTGTTTGGCATCTGCTGGCAGGGACACCGACCTGCATTTCAATCTCAGGCCTTGTCCGCAGGTATATTAAAAATGTACACCTCCTTTTGCAATACACTCCAATCACAGTTATGGCCACAGCTGTGAGTGCAGTAACAGCTAGTCCTATGGGTGTGCCAATAGCCAGTGCAAGCAGATCCATATTACTGCTGCCTCTCTCTGCTGGTTTCTCAGCTGCTGGTAAGACACACCCATAAACCTGCAAGCTGAGGCAGGGTGGGTTGTCACTCCATGTATGCAGAAGAAATCAGAAAAGAAAGCAGGTATGAGGAACACTGCCATGCTAGGTCTAGATTTTCTTCTAAGTAACAAAGAAGCTAGTAACATTACCACCGGAACCAACACTACCAATACTGATGGTTTCTAGTTTCACAATACTTGGTAAATGTTGGTTGTAGCCAGGGAGCTCTAGCCTCCAGCTGAGGCTCATTGCACCATCCTGCTGCTCCTAGCAGCAACTTGTCACCCACCAAGTCCTGTGCTAGTCCTACTGGAGAAGGAAGAGTTCCCTCCTAATAAAAGTGGCTCCTGTTGGCTGCATCCTGTTGAGCAAAAACTGGCGTGTCCAATACACAGAGTGACGGCTATTACTAACAACATACTTACTTCTTCTTCTGTTAAACAGGAGATGAATATCCCGGTACGTATTATTCATAGCAGTCATGGTTCCATGGTAACGGACGTCATACAAACACTGACTTGAGAAGATGGCAAGCTCAGGAGCAAGCGGCCACAGCACTGGGACTGTCTCGGCCAGCAAGGGGCTGCAGAGAATGTGGGACGAGAGAAAATTGGAGGAACACAGAGAGCGGGTGAGCCACCGCAATTGAGCTCAGCCCCACCCACTTATTTTGCAGCTGCGGAGGGTAAAGCCGACCGTTGATAACGGTCCACCGACCAACTTCGTTCACCTAAAGCAGAACCTGAGAAAGCGCCAGGTTCGGTTGAGAGGAACTGTAAGCTAATCTGGTCGTTTCTGGTCCTGCTAGATTGAAGAGGACAGGTGGCGGTTGGTTGACAGACACAACCGCGAGCTTCTCATGCGGATGAACACCATAATGCACAGTACTGGTCGCGTGGAGCACAGAAATTTGGACTGGAAGCCGAAGAAAAGGTATCTTCATTCAATGTGACATCTTCTCAAAAATGCATTTCTTGGGGGTTCTTAGCATTGGGTACATAAAGAGACAGGAAGAGATGCAGAGAGTTCAAAGAGAGAACCAGGTACACAACATGCTTGCCATAAATCGCTACAGCTCAACAGCCTTTCTACAGGCAATTCTGAAGAGGATTCAAACTGTTAAACCTCAATACAGTGTAAAGCAGTGGGTAAGTGCCCCGGTATTTTCAAGGCACTGCCTGAAAGTTTACACATAGGAGAGTGACTACCACAGCCATGTTGAGAGATGCCGCAGCATGTCACAGACATTGTCTGGACTGGGGCCGAGCACTAGGGCACAGAGGGAACCAAGGAAGAGAAAGGCTGAGCTTCACCTACCACCCATTCACCCAATAGCGACAGATAAACAGTTGGTATGTACGCTCTCCTCCAGGTTTTGTTGCTCTGTCGAAAAGGGATAATTGTCTTTCTCAGAGCGACATCCAGGAAGAAATTGACGTGGAGACCTAGCCAATTCTGTCTGTATACTCTTACTTTACCTTATTGGGACAAATGATGAAAGTTCATACATACAACATACTCTGAAACTGCAGACTATACTGCTTGTGAGTCTTGATTGAAACTGATGCACATCCGCATTGTTTGGGCCTTCAGTTTGTGTTTGCTCACATCTTTGGCTGTTGCTGGTGGTCTCGTGTCAGGGTTAGGGTAACTCTTAGTTCGTGAGCGATTTTCAACTTCATATAGTTTTTGCTTGATGATCACCGGCTCTGTTTTTGTGCGCCTTTCGCCATTTCTCTCCACTCCATCACCCCCTTCTTCCTCGGCTATGGCTAAGAGGGACTCTGTCATACTCTCTCCTAGTCCACTACTAGCATTAGACAGGCGATAAGACGAGTGATAGCTAGCTGTTGAACCACTGGAGTCCCTGCGTGTATCCTCTGAGTGCTGTTCTTTCTGGGGTAGCACACGGACTGAGCGAGTAGGAAGAGGCTGTGAATTCTCAGCAACAGCTCCTTGTCTTCTCAGAAATGGGCCAGTAGTAGTGTGCTCGGAGGGCAGTGGCAGCGACGGAGGGACTTTGTCAAGGTTGGAGAATGGTGGCATTAGGGTAGCAACAGGAATAGGAGAAGGATGAGATCGAGTTGCAGAAGGATGAAGGAGAGATGGAGAGGGCGATGGAGAAAGTGGAGCAACCTGTCGTTCGGAAGGCAGTGGCAGTGATGGAGGGACTTTGTCGAGGTTGGAGAATTGTGGGGAAGTAACACGAATGGGAGAAGGATGGGAGTGAGTTGGTGAAGGATAAAGGAAAGATGGAGATGGAGGAAGTGGAGCAACTCTCACTGGGACCTCATAGTCACTGGCCACAGCTTGACTGGCTGGAGAGAGAGGGAGAATCGGGGAGTAGCCTGGATCTGGAGTTTTGGGCTCTTCCTCTTCTTCTTCTTTGGAAACAACCTCAGCATAGCCTTGAGAGTCAATTTTGAGCATCTGTGCTCTCTGGCCTGTATAAGACAGGAAGAGATGAGACTGGGTAGTGGGTCAGAGGAGATACTCACTGTTTTCTGGGATATATGGAGGAGACTCCGGCTCAGCCTCAGGTGTCGTAATGTGGGCATACATTGAGTCTTCTGGACTATCCACACCAAATGTTGAGGGTAGCCTCTCATAGTTATGGTCTGTGACTGACTCCCCCATCACCAGGCCAAGAGTAGGGGGACGAGGTGGCAAAGGTGCTCCCTCTGAGGGAAGGGGACATTTTGGAAAATGGTGTTTATCCTCAGGAGGCAGGAAGCAGGTTGCACTGGAACCAGTAAAAGGATTCGGAGAGTGTACTGGCGAAGGTACAGGTGGACGAGGTTTGGAGGTGGTTTGTGACATATCATCTTTTCTGGTTGACATCATGTGCTGTCTGCGAATGCTTCCAATCCTCTCATAGAGTGGGTCTAAAAATTATTTAACTTGAGCGATATACTCTGGATTTACTCCTTGAGTGGCGTACCTGGTTCAGGAGAGCCATTGCGGTGAGGGATAGGAGGTGAAAAGTCTTTGTCTGAGCCTTCCAGTTCATGATAGTGAGAGTTGTTGGTCTGACATTGATGACACAGCTCTCCTGCACCTGAGGAAGTCGCACACTGAAACTATGCATACCTCTCACTAACTACACATACCATTAGCACTTTCAGGTCCTGACTCCACCAGATGGAGTGGCTCATCATCTGTGAGAATGATGTAAGAATCACAATAGAAGCCATAAAAGTTGTGTTGATGAGGAAAGAAGCAGTCTAAGTGAGTTCATTGGTTCCCTGATAGACATTCCTGATGGCTTCCCCACATGCCATGACACCAAAACAAGGACCTACTATTACATGTGGCAGTAAATACAAGTTTAGTGTTTATCTAACAGTGCACTCACCAGCAACCAGTCTAGCCCCACACTGGGTGCAGAGAGTTCCATCCGAGGAATGGGGGATGTGAGGGAGGGAACAAAGGGAGAGGGATGGCTGGTGGACTACCCGGTATGGCCGTACACGACCTGGTCTCACAGGACTCAGTGCCTCACTCTCAGAGAGAGAGATGGGAGACAGCGGAGGGGAAGAATTGTGAGAGTTTGGCTTAGGAGGTAGTGCTGGAGGCCCTGAAGACCTACGACAAAGCATTATAATGTGGTATATAGGTGATTAAGTTCAAACCTCTGATGTTTTGGCTCTCCAATGACGGTGAGAGGGCGCATTTTCAGCTGTGGAGATAGTGGGGGAGGGAAAGAGACTGGGGTGGAGTGTTGGCGGAGATGTGAGGGAGGAGGTGGAACAGTGGGGGGAGGAGGCATGTCTGGGGGTTTATGCGAAGGTGAGGAAAGGAGTAGTGGAGTGACAGGTTTATCAATGGCTGCCAGGTTGTCCAGAGAGCTCCCCTCAGGAGGAACTCTGGGTCCCAGGGAGAGCATGCTCGAGAGTGAGGTACCTGCACATGGAACAGTCCCACATTTCTTGAGCAGAGACACTCACATATCCACATACCGTGTTGGACACCATGAGTGTTGTCTCGGGTCCCGACATCGAGAGAGGACTCCAGCAGGTGTTGGGTGGAACGGAAAGTTGGGTCTTCCAGCAGAGTGGCAGCAAATTGTGGGCTACTTGCTCTACTGAGAACTGCAGCTGAATCCTCAGACTTGGCCTCATCTGACTTATGGAATGTAGTGAACAGCTTTGACCCCAGTGGATGGTCTGTAGGATTGGAATGGGGTATATTATCATGGACCGATCAATGCTGGTCAATATGTACCACTGTCAGTGATATTGATGCTGATATCAGTGCTGGCAGCAATACCTTTCCTGTTATAAGGAATGAAGATGGTTGATAGCTAATAGTAATGAATTTGTGATATAACAGTTTACCTATCCTTTTTGCTTAACGTACGAGTCTTCATGGACCCACTGCCTTTTCCCTCTCCGTGGCAGCACCTGTAGAAAAGTAGTGTATGGAGGACAGCGTAGTCAGCATGCAGACTGAAAACTGACAGAAACGAGGCAGTAGCCAGTGGAAGTAGCACAAGCAGCGCCACTACAGACCAGACAAACATCTTCCCATGGTCATTCTTTTGAGTATTGGCTCGCCCTGCAGCCATAGAAAGACTGTAGTACTTTACTCGAAATGAAGAAATGATGTTTACCCTGGTTTTCCAACGTGGCTTGCTGATGAGCATCTCTGATAATTCTCTCTGACCCTCTAACAGTCTGTTCACAGTCCCCCACCAACAACGTATAACAGACAGTGAGTTGTGAGCCAAGGCTGAGCACACTTCCCTCGGGCTGGACTGGGATCTCTAGTGGTCTACCAGGCAATTGTGGAAAGACCCCCAATACCTAAAATTGAAATAGTGCATCCTCTGATAGGTGATAAGGTTTCAAGCAACTGGCAAATATACCAGGGCAGTCCATGCATTAGCAATGTGATTTATACATCTGATGATTCAGGTATATATTGTGCAGTCCTTGCCTTGGAGTGATGGACGACAATGGCGGTGGCAACCGCAGAGGTGGTGGAATTGTGCAGCAAACAATGGTGTGAAGGATTTGAGAGAGCATATTCCACAGAGCTACCGCACAGGATGCTTCCGGCTGCACGCAGGATAAGGATCTCTATCAAACAATGGTAATCAACAACGTACTTGCAGAAGCTGCACACAGTGTTAGGAACGAGACAACCAGGGTGTTGCAGAAAGTACCCATAGACGGAGACGATTTCCACCTGCAGTAAACTGGGAGCACACAACGGCGAAATGGCCGACCGGATGCGGCGGAAGACCGCCGGATATTTCGTGACCCCGCCTCCAATTTTTATGCTGACGTATGCAGTTAGGAGAATGGACGACGTCAGTAACAGTGGTACAGAGAATGAGTGTGAATTAGACACGGAGTTTATAGCCAATGAGTCAGCAGAAGGTGGCCATCGGAGGAGGTGGAGATGGAAAAGATCATCTGCTTCCTACTCTGCGGCCCCCCGCGACAGGGGATATGTGGTTTACGTGTGTATGGTGTTAGCAGGGGCTGGATTTCTCTTCCCCTGGAGCTCTTACATCACTGCCATCGACTACTTCTTTTTCCTCTACCGGAGGGATTTCCCTCAGGTACTTGTGTGACTTTGAAAAATGAGGACTACCTCTAGTCCTGGCTTTCAGGTGTCTGTGGCAATTCCAATGACATACCTGGTGTCAACATGGATCTTCACTGGAGTCAATGTCTCTCTGGTGACTGCAGTTCCTCTGCATGCCCGGATTGGGCTCGGTTATGTGCTCTTCCTCCTGTCTCTCATTGCAATACCGTTCATTGATCTGATGGTGCACAGCTGCGTCCTCTCCATTCATGCTGCCTACTACCTCACCATCTTCTCTATTGCTGTAGTTGGCGTAGGCTCTGGAGGTCAGTACTATGCAGCACACTCATTTATAATCCTAATCCAAGACCCTGCCCTCAGTTCAACAGTCCAGCTACTACGGTCTAGCTGGGATGTTGCCTCCACGTTACCCACAAGCAGTCATGGTTGGGGAAAGTGTAGCGACTTCAATTGTTTCAATCACGAGAGTCATCACCAAATCTTCCACAACCAGCGAGCGGTTTGGAGCAATTGCCTTCTTTGTGGTGTCCGTCTTTTTCATCTTGGTGTGTGTGGGCTGCCAGCAGATCATCCGCAGCAGCTCTTTTGTCAAGAGCCACACACTGCAGTGCAGGCAAAGCTCTGAGCATGACAAAGGAGGAGGGGAAATGGAGCGGGTGAGTGACGGTGAGGAGGAGGCAGGGGACCAACTCAAGCTACTGCCAGTGGACACAAAGCAGAGCTCTGTCAAAGCCAAAATCAAAGGTGAATAGAGAAAAGTTTGTTTTTGCACGAGTGGAGCATGCTAAACTCTCTAGCTGGCCTGCTCCTGCGATGGGGAGTGGTGGTGGAAATCTGGCAGTTGTTGGTGGCTGTGTTTGTATCCTTCTTCCTAACTCTGCTCCTGTTCCCTGGACTGGTGTCTCTTGTACAGTACTGTCCCACTGGAGACTGGACTCCCATCCTCCTTGTCGCCGTCTTCAATGTCCCAGAACTGATCGCTAAGGTTGTGATGTCAGCCTCTCCTTGTGCCTCACTCTATGTGCGTGTAACCTACTGCAGTGGGTAGCTCTTCTCCCCCTCCGCTGGTCATCAACTGGGCTAATGACAGGAGCTCTCCTCAGATTTCTCCTTGTACCGCCCATTCTCCTGCTGGTCTCTCCATCTCCCTCCCAACCAGTCATAAGCTCTGGTACTTTGGTTTGGGCTATCTTACTGGTAGCTCTACTGGGGTTCTCCAGTGGCTACTTTGGTTCTCTACCAATGATAGTCTTTTCTCGCCAGGTGAAGAATGCCCAGCATCTGGAGCTTGCAGGTTAGTCATTTCCTTGTCCTGGCCCCAGCAGACACACTCCCCTCCCTGCAGGAACCATTATGACATATTCCTTGCTGACTGGTCTGATGCTGGGCTCTGTTCTGGCATATTCCCTCACTCCTCTCACCTCTATCGCCTCACATTCTCCCTGTTCTTCCAATGTCACTGAACTTTTCAACTCATGCTCTCCTAATGCTACATACTTATAACGATATATAGTCCCTCTGCTCTGTCTGGCCTTTTAATCAACAACCCAACAGATGTATAATTGGTGAGCGGGAGCGAGCCAACCTAGTGGTACGAACGGCGCGATTTTCCGTCGTCGTACGTCGTGTAGAGTATAGGTGGGTATCATGAGACAGGGGGTATTATGAGACACTCGCTCAAATCGAAGCAAAACTCACCCAAACTGTTCTGAGAGCGGTACTAAGTACGGATCTCATCTCACTGAAATGTCGTGTGTAAATATTAATGGTTTATGCCTTTTTTTACTATGATCTCATCTCACTGAAATGTCGTGTGTAAATATTAATGGTGTATGCCTTTTTTTACTATGATCTCAGTGCGCATGCATGCCAAATATGGAATCGTGATCGTAGACTGTAATGCAGTGAGAAGCAATGCCATCTTGTTTTTCAAATATTGACGTTCTGTGCTTTCTTTTTAGCGTGTGTAAATGGTGTCCCATAATACATACATGTGTCTCATAATGCCATCAATACAAATTCACGAATATTTGTAGTTATTTCTGTGTCAAAGTTTGGAATCTACGTATTGTAATGTTTACTAGTTCTAACTAATATTAGACGTCGGCAGATTCAAATTGACCAATCAGATTGCGTAAAACGTGGATTCTAAATCCCGTATTTTCCAAGTGCGTGTTTCCATGGAGACGCCCGCCAAAAAATGGCGTCTTCGATGGGGGTGTGGCAAGCTTCTAGGCAAAGAAACTCGCTCTGTCGCTGAGAGCTCGCCGCGACGACTTCAAACTCGCTATATCCGATGCTTCTTCGATGAAAGGCCTCTCTAAGATGCAAAAAGAAACTAAACTGAAGACCTTTTTAGCTTCCCCCGGCAAGAGCGAGTCTTTCGGAAGACGGCGGACCTGGACGATTTTGAAGGCCGGCACGGCCTCCGTCTAAACAGGTTATACTGCTTGTCAATGGAAATACACGATTTAGACGGCCTCGGAGCCCTTAGTAGCGTCTTCGCTGCGCTCAGACAGCTACAGCTCAGGGCCCCTCGTGCCGTCTAAATCGCGTATTTCCATTGACGCGCAGTATAACCTATATACATTAACTCCAAGTTTCATATCATTTCCACCTACTCCTTCCGAATATCAAGGCAACAAAAAATGGTGTCTCATAATATCCTCACATACTCTAAGTGCGCATGCGCGTCTTTGTACGCGCTTCTTTTTATCCGAAACTATTTCCAAATTTTTACACATTTTCACACACGGTGCCTGCCTCGCGATATGCGCCGATCGATCTATATAGCCAGCTAGAGAACTCTCCTCCATTCGACGGCATGCGCTGCAACCTTCGGTGACTGACCGAGGCTGTACCTCTTCCCAATCTTCATGGTTCCAAGCTGCAACTTGCAAATACGCTAGGATTGCTCGTGCACGTACTGCTGCATGCCAGCTGCCTGGTGAACCACGACTGACGAGTTGAAAGCGTAAGGTAAGTACCGTTCTGCTCACCTGCTCACCGTTCTGCCAATGTACAATACGTTATGTAACGGCGACAGGTAGCTCTGTCTTGCTTCACGAAAGGAAAGCTGTGCGCTGACGGCACGTTATGCAACCCGAACATCACGGGCAAATCCCAAGTTGGGTCGCTCCCGCTCGCCAACAATGTTCAACATTTGCACTAGTATTAAAACATGGTGCTCATGAGTATCTAGTCGTTATAGAGCTTGACTTTAGGTAAGTCCTTCTCCAGACACTCCCTTGCCCTGCTGAAGTAGTAGAAACGACCATCTTTCCGTTGTAATTTTTTGACATAGTTGTTGTGTGGCCAGCGGTCTACTGCATTGCCACTGTTAACTGTTAGGTACTCTGTCTCATCTCGGTAGCCTGCCAGCTGGAATCTGTAGGCTGTGTTGAAGAAATATCACAAACGAAATCTGGAGCAGTTCAGATACCTTCTTCCACGTCTTCATTCCAAAGTGATGGCCTAGCGGCAAGCTTCTTTCCAACAATTTCAGACATGTAGTTTGTTCCAGTGAGACTGGAGAGGGACTGCTGATGGATCGATGGAGGAGAGAGGTGGCGGCAAGGAATGGTTTGGTTCTGTGTTTTGAATGATACCGCGCGCCGCGCCGCAGGCTATTATCTTCTATTGTTTGTACGTTGCGCAGTTGCTATAGTTTCAATCAGCATACGCATGCGCAGAGTATTGAAGGGATCCGCGCGCGCTGGACCGGACATGCATCGATCACCACTACCTCAATTTTTAAGAACTGCAGTGAGAACCAGGTGTTAGAATAGACCAGCAACAAATACCACCCAGTCAGCCAGTAAGCAGATTATGAGCTAGGCTGCAGTGCTCTATCTCAAAAAAATTTTCACTTTGACAATCATAATTATCATGTGCTGAGTAGTTAGCATAGTAAAAAAAACCTATTCCTAAAAGTTGTTGTCTTCACGATTCTTCTGATTCAAAAGAATTGGCAGAGGAGTCGCTAGAGGGAGGAGAGAGAGAGAGAGAGTATAGCAGTTGCTGTCAATGGAAGGAAAAGTCTAACCTTAGAGAACTGTCACTGGAGCTTTCATCATCTTTTTCATCCTCCTCATTCTCTTCCTCGTCCTCTTCCCCTTCTTTCTCTGGCTCCTCCACAGGAGGAACATAGGACCGCTGAATTGGAGCAAGGTTATTGCCATTGACTCATTCCATGGTCCAAACCTTTGCCTCTGCGAAGGCAGTGGAGGCTGTGTTCTCCAGTCCCATTCCCAGAGAGAGGAACGCCACATTGCTGATCCCTTTCTCCAGCCACGTCTCCAGGCTCTCCTTTGTCAGAGTCTCAACCACCATCGTCTGGGACACCCCCCACCTCTGCAGTATTACAGTAATAGACAGCCAGTATCAGGGAAGGGTATTACCTCTGCTAGGTTCTCCACATTCAGGAAGAGTTCTGTGAGGGACCTCAGAATAAGGGGAGCAATGGTCTGCTGAGACTTGTTCTTATTCTCTGTATATTGATAGGAAGGACAAAGTATAATTATGCACAACTCGTTCCTCACCATACTCCTTGACAAGAGTTGTGTAGAGCTGCCAGAGAGGCTTGAGAGCAGAGAGGTCAAGTCTTTCCTGTGACGGGCTGTAGAGCATGGGGGAAGGTGAGGGAACACACACAGTGGCATGGCTGAAGCTAATACCATTCTCTCATGACGGCGAGGAGACGGAGGAGAAGACAGACGATCATCAGTCTCTCTTGGCCAGTGTAGTGGCAGGCCACCACTATCAGGTTTGGCCAGATCTTGGAGATAGGAATAGTGGAGGCCTTTCTTTCGCCTGATTCTGCCACTGTCAGCAGCTGCTTGAGAAACTTCAGTCCTGCGGTAAACCTGTCGTGTTGTGTGCTAGAAAAGTCTCTGTGCAGAAGAGAGCAACACACCTTCCCATCTGTGTCCCAGTGACAGTGAAGCTGCAGGATGTTTTGTTAGCCTCATTTGAGGCCTTTAGTTTCACTTGGTAGTGTACTGTATTCCCTATGGTAACAACAAACATGGACGGCATGATTGTACTTAGCTCAATTTCAGCCAACCCACCAGGAATATGGGTTAGTTCTCTGTGATTGTCAGAGTTAGTGGAGGACAGGTTCTTATAGTGGTCAGACATCTCTTCGTTGCTGGCAATGTCCACTTCACCACTGGCTTGGTGACTGCAAGTAGAGAAGACTGTTAGTGGATGCACTGTCAGAGAGAAGGACTAACAGAACAATGGACAAGCTGGAGGCACCGGCTATTACCACTTTCCCCTGTACAAACACACGACCTCTGTCAACATTAGGAAGAGTAATAACAGTGTATGCTGGCCTTCTCCTCCAGTGTTCCCTGTGTTGGGTGCTGGAACTGTCTCTTCTCACAGCCAACACTCACCCTCCGCATTGCCTCTGCAGCCCTCACTGCCAGATCCACCAGCTGAGTTGGCTCCAGGCAGTGTATCACTGCATCGACCAACTGTGGAGGGACCATTTAACAGCGAAATTCCACCTAGCCTGTCCCTTGCTCACGTCAGAAGAAGCCTGTTGGCTCAGCGGCCTCATGAGGAGGTCTAGGAGACAGAACAGCTGCATTTCATCCATGCTCCCCAGGTTGGAGGTGGAGAGACGAAAGTGTGGTGGACGGGGCCAACAGGACAGCACAGAAGCCAGCAAATGTCGGGCGTAGAGGATGACAATGGCTTGCTGTGTTTTGAGAAGTTCTTTTCTGGATGCTCCTTCCCCCCTCAGCTGTTCTTGCAGTAGCTGGAAAGACTCCTCTTGACCAATCTCCGGGCCCTGTCAACAAACACGCAGACAGAGACTGAACCAGCAGCAATGTTCTAAAGTTACCTCTCCCCTTTGCTGCTTGCTGTCTTCCTGCATTAGATCTGAGCTCTTCAGTCGTTTTGTCACATCAACTTTCTCAGGTTCAGCCTCCAGTGAGGACAAGGAGCATGGAACAGGAGCGAGATGAGTGACTCCAGAATCTTCCAGAGAGTCCTGGATCTCCTTTACTTCATGCTGCTCGGAACTCATCTCCACCTCCCTGCATACACATGTGCATGTACCCACTCAATGTGGAAGAGATGAACATTAGACGCACCATCTGGCAGCAGCTTCCACAATTTCTGGAGGTGGTTTGAGTGTGGCAGACTCTAGATCATAGCTGTGGGGAGACAGAGAATAGAAGGACTGCAGGATGTACAATTGGAGACAGCTCACTATTGTTCTGAGCTCATGATGAACTTGTTGACGTCTGCCCCACTTGCATCAAAGAGGGCCCGCAGAGTAGGAAGAGGACATTGGAAGGCTTCTTGCATGATCTGCTCATGGATAGGACTCAGAGCAGAACCAGGCATGGATCTTACCACTAGCATGTCCTGAATGTCATCTGTTAGTCCTTCAAGACAGGCTTCCTCCTCCCTCATGGAGCCTGTCTTCTTCTTTGCATCCTTATCTTTGGGTTCCTCCTCATCTTTATCTTTAGTTGCATCCCCACCATCTTTTCCTTCATCCTCCATCTCTTTCTCTTCCCCACCTCCCCCGTCTTTGCTACCATCTGACATGTCAGTATTCTTGCTGCCAGGTGGCTGGTAATTTCTGATAGCCACCACCTTACCACCACAGTACAACAAAACAAGATTCACTGCAGTTTCAGACATACACACAAACAGGTACGGACCTCCAGATCAGGTGCTAGCCACTTCCAACTCAGTCTGGTAGCTTTGCTGGCTAGTTTACTGATCTCCATCATCAGCTCTTCCTTCAGAAACATCTTCACCACTTCAGCCGATGCTGGGCCCTGTAAATGGTGACTTGTCATACTATTGTGAAGTCCATTGGAGTTTACCCTCATTAGCACCAACAAGGCCTTCAGAGAGAGAGCCAATATCCAGGTCGCCTCAACTTGCCTGTCATCCTCTGAGAGTGGGGGAGAAGTGGCAGCCAGCAGAGGGGACTGGAGGCAACAATGTACCTTGCTTGGCCAGCTGGAGGCAAGAACGGAGCAGAGGAAGGAGAGAAGGGAGCTCAGAGTGTGTGATGCAGCCTCGCAGTGTGTCCTGTACTTCACACTGAGACAGCTTCACCTGCAGCCCAGACACAGGGTGGTAATACACTGTCTCTTTCTCTCCTAAGCCCACCATTTGAGGCTCTCTGTGATCACAGCTGACTACTGTCCCACTGTCTTCTTTCACTGACGTGAGGACCGCCACTGGAGGTGGCTGGTCAGAGTCTTTGCAGCGGACCTGCACCAGACTACCCTCTCTGTGCAGCTGTGGGGGGAGAAACATCAACAGCACATCTCTCTCTGCTTGTCCTCACCTTGGGGAACCCTGCCAGCACCATCAGTGCAAATATGGAGGAGAGGTCCATCTCCTGTGCACAGGTGGCATAGTCTGACCGAAGGAAGGAGGAGTGGGAACTTACTTCTGCCTTAGTGCTGAGAGGAGCCAAGACTGACTGGGAGACAACCTCCCTCCACAGTGGGGCTCTGGACAGAATCAACAGACACTCTGCTATAGTTGCTGCTCCACTGAAGTCAGATCTGTGTGAAAAACAATAGACAGTGAGATGAGTGCTTGAGAGTGTGTGTCTATATTGACTTGTGTAGAAATCCAGCTCCAAGGGAGAACAGGTACTCGGCAGTCACCATGCCACCTTTACCCATACCCACTGCCTCTGCTAGGCCTGAGCCTCTCGCTATCGCAACTGACTGATCAGCAACCTGCACGTAGATAGAAAGTTAGGGGAAGGAAGGAAGAAAGGGAGAGGTAAACCTGTGGACTGATTCTCGACATGTACTGAGCAGTCACAATATATGCAAGTCTAGTGGTCACAGACTGGAAGGCGGTGCAGGCAGAAACTTCCAAAAGAGCAGGCAAAACCTGCTCCCCTACAGTCTGGTGCAGTTCTTCGGAGCCCTGGTTCCAGCCACCAACATCTGCAGGCAGCACAGCTGCCAGTGCATAGAGAGAAGGGTTCAAGAATAGCAGAGAGAATGTCTTCTCTGCTGAGGTGGATTTCAGTCCGTCTTGACTCATCTGACGGCTGGCAGCACTGATGGGATCCTCTCTTTCTGTTGGAATATCCATTTCCCCATTGTCCAGTGGTGCAGCAGAAGACAGAGTTTCAGCAGTGGCAGCTTCAGTACTAACTGCCCCTTCATCCTTGCATGGCTGCTCAGCTCCGTCTTTCTCTTTATCCTCACTGCTTGTGTCACTCTTTGATGCCTGTTTTTTCTCTTGCTCCTTCTCCTTGGCCTGAAACACACACACGAGGTAAGCCATTTGAAGCACCGTAGCACACACCTCCTCCTCCCACTTGACCAGCACTGCTGTGTGCAGAATGAATGCCAGTTGCCTCAGACAGCGCAGCAGGTTGCGGCAGGCTTCCTCCCTGTAGCTCTTCTGTCCCTGAGAGGCTGGAGTAAGAGAGAGAAGGTGAGAGGCCAGCTACAGAGGAGTGAGAGAGGCTAACCAGACTGTTTGGTGTTGAGGCACTGTGCCATGTTGAGGCAGAGAGAGTTGAAGAGCAGCCAGCAGTGCTGTTGGTGATACACCATCAGATCTACTGACGGTCCTGTGCTTGTCAGCCAGCCATCCTCATAGATAAGAGGCTTGCTAGCTTCAGGGTCAGTGGTCAAATAGCGGTAGGCAGACCCAGTGGCAGGCACTTCAGATAAGAGGTAGACTGTCCACTTATCTGATATTCTGTGTAGGCGACAAAGCTGCAACTGAACTGACAGAGCTAATTCCGGTTTTACCCTCTTGCTTCCTCCTTCCTGAAACATCCTAGACACAGGTCAATGTATTGGCTACTGCTGTGGAAGCGATGAGTGAGGATGAAGAGTTTGCAGTGGCTGCATGAGAAGTGACTGTGAGGAGAACGAGAGAGGTGAAGGCACACTAGAGATGAAGTGCAGCCCCTACCCCATGGCTAGGTAGAGCAGGTCTGGAGAGTGGTTCTCAGGTCTGAACCCACCTGCAGTGAGAACAGTAAAACTGGTAGCAAAAGTAATGTCATTCTCACTCTTGAAGCACTGGGGACAGAGGTCAAAACTGGTGTTCTTCATCTCCATATTGTGGTAGAAGAGGCCTTCTCTGATGAGAGTCTGACAGCCATCACACTGCACACTGATGTGGGCACTGGGAGGCCAGGTCTTAGCCTCAATGAAGAGGTCTCCTTCCTGCAGCCCAAAGTCTCCCTGTCTCTCTCACTCACAACATCTGGACACATACCCATTCACTGTCCTTATACAACTGGAGCTGCTGCAGACCCATAACATCAGCACCTCCGAGCTCTTTCACTTTCTCCATGAACGCCGTGTGCAGAGCATAGCGGGTGAGCATGGCCTCTTCACCCTCAAACTTGTCTGCTCTCTTCTTCTCATCAGTCTGTGTGGACACTGCGGACAGAGAGGCTGGGATAGAGACGTGCTAGTTTGGTAGCTCACTGATAGCAGACTGGAATAGGAAGTCAGAGATCTGGAGGTCTGTCAGGAGAAGGTGGTCATAGTTTTGCCACTGTACATCCAGTAGGTGGCACGTTATGATGTTCACCAGCAGCCTGGCTCTGCTGTACTCACTGTGGGGCCACAGAAGTACAGTAAGTATGGGGCTGCGAGGTGCAATAATATATGAACAGGAACTCACACAGACGGTGGGTGGGAAAAGGCAGAGAGACCTTCCAAAAGTTGCTGTAGTAACAGACGGTACGCCTTGCGCACATGGTTCTCTAGGTCAAGACCACACCCATCCAGCTTAGCTGCATAGTGGCTGGAGCAGATTATCAGATTAGTAAACCCTGATATATATGAAAAAAGTATTTTTTTTGCTGAGGCTGAAACAGTGTTTCATGGTTAGCAAAAGATGTAGTACATGTTACACTTACATGGGGAAGTGCCTCTGGTTTGACACCAGCTGCTGCAGGAACATTAGGCCTGGCAACTGCAGAAACAAAAACCTGGTGACCCATAAACGGTGGACAGAGAATACCTCACCTCAAACATGTTTTCAACAGAAATGGCTGTCAGGTAGTTGGCAGCAAACGTATAGGCCTGGGCCACGCATCTTGCCAGCTCCTGTCTCTCTTGCAACAAGTCATGAACTTTTTTCTCTGTGATGGCTTCATTCTTTACAAAACTGAGGACCAATTCAAAGCTAGCAGGCTTCCTGCGTGGCTTTGCCAGTCCCCCCAAGCTGAGCTGGAAGGTGGTAGGGTGTATCCAGAGCCGAGGTAAAGAATGAGTCTCGAGTCATGTTACCTGTTGTTTTAGACGGCCGACTGTGCTGACTGCACTACTGTTGTCCACCTTTTCATCCCTCCCTATCCCTCCTTCCTGGTCCACCCGAGACAGCCCAGCGAACTTTAGCAGAAAGAGAGCCTTATCGTGACAGCTGACAACTGCATAGACAACAACACACTTTAGCATTTCTCTCAGCTAAAGCTCTTCAACTCACGGGGACTGTCTTCATCGATCTCTGCCTTCTTCTCCCCATTATCCTCTTCCTCCTTAGCTTCCAGCACCTTCTGTCGGGCTTCCACCTGACAGAACAGATACCACTGGTGTGTGTCTGAGTACTCAACATACCAGTTCCCTGCGTAGAGCCTCTGCAGTTGAGAAAGCCTCTCTCAGCAGTGAACTGGGAGGCTGACTGGGGCCACGCCACGTGGCTAGCTCCTCCCGCAGCTCCTGACAGTGCCAAATGAGAGCAGCAAACACGGCATTCACTGCCCTGTCCACCTTGTCCCCACCATAATATGGGCCCTTCTCTGTCTCGCGCAACCTGCAATAATTGATGTACACTCATTCTGCTCCTACACCCTGGCAGCTGACCTGTCCAGCAACTGTTTAGAACCCCCCTTCTCCCCATTAGCCATGTCATGGAGCCGGCTGTTTAGCTCAGAGGTAGCTGGACTGGCAGTCTGGGAGACACATGGAAAGTTACCGTCACAATACGTATGATGGTCACAAGATAAGAAATGCAGTCTCACATGTGCTTCAGAGAGCGAACGAGTCAGTTTCCCGAGCATGTAGCCTCCTCTGAACAGAGTTCTCCAAAGATCACTGCGAGTCAACAGAGCTTCTTCTGTCTGCTCCTCCTTTTGCTTCTCCGATGGCTCTGTCATCACTGCACGAGACAAACATGATGACATCACTTGCACCTCCTGTCCCTCACATGTCTTCATGGAGAGAGTGGCTGAGGTGAGTTGTCCTAGCAACCTTGTCAAGGAGAGCTGCAGGTCCAGGAGCCAGTGGAGGGAAGGAGCTGCTTGTCCATAGGCTTTCAGCTGCAGTGGATATGATAAACAGCCATGCCAGGGAGTAGTGACTCACTGTGAAGAGGTAGCCCCACTCATTATTGCTGCCATCAGAGTGGAACAGGAACTGCAGTTTGGGTCCTGGGAACTCGGCAGTCTGCAGGAGAAACAGAGTGTTGAGGTCAGAAGAATTATACTGGCCACACCCCCTCACCCGGGGCCAGTGTTCAGAGTTGAACTTCCCGTCAAATTTCTGCTTCGCTCCAGTCACATCAGTAAATTCCAGGTAGTCATAGCGACGCTCGGTGACACAGCGGGAGTCAAACTCCACCACAAACTTTGTTGCCGAGGGACACACAAACTCCTCAGTGGTGTGAGCATTGTTCTCGTAGTTGTGTGAGCTTTCTCTTGTCCACACTCCAACCACAGACTGCTTCAGGTCCTGTACTGAGTCCACCCCAGCCAGCTGTGGGAAGGAGTGGTGCAGACAGTTCATGGAGCAGTGAGAGAGACTGACGGGCGGGGAGGCAGTGGGCGAGCTCGAGATAGCAGACTGGAGACCAGGCACTAGAGGGTACAGGGTGTCCAGGAGCCTTGGTCTGGGGAGAGGAGACTTCACAATGGTGGGCAGAAACACCAGCTAAAAGAGAGACGAAAATACAAGTGCCACATAAGTTGCAATCCCACCATTTCTGCTAGAGTTCTGGTGAGTAGAGAATTCTGGAGTGCCTTCATCTTATCCTCCTGCACAGAGGGAGAAAGAGGGAGTGAGAGGTGGAAAGACACCGCTCACCTTGCCACTCTCCAGGACAGCGATTTCCTTCAGCACCATATCACTGGCAGTAACCAGCTTCTCTACGTCTGAGAAGAGGAACGAGAGTAAAGAGGAAGTTTGGGAAGCAGCACTGTCTACATTTCAGCAGAAGTTTCTGGACAGCATCCTCAGCAATGTTCTTGCGACACCAGAAAAACAGGGAAGCCTGAAGTGCGCACAGCAAACTAACCAAATTCTCAGGTCGTGGCTTCCCTGACGACAGACTCAGCTGAGACTACAGGAAATGACATTCATTACAACTCTGAGTTCCAGGCCTCTCACCTCTCTCCTAGCAACTGTCAACATGGTAGTCATGAGCTCCGAGGCTCGGTCAGTGTCCACCGGGGCTCCCTGTGCAGCAGTATTGAGTATACAGACTCACTCACAGTCAATGGATTGTGCACACCTCCTCCATCTTGGTGGGCAAGCACAGCAGGGAGTTGGCATCAGTGGTACTGAAGTACTGGCAGAGAGCCTCAAACTTGAGCCACCAGGACCGAGGTTGCCTCTCACTCAGCACACTCTCTATCATCTCCAGCAGGTAGTCCCTCCTGGCCTTGGCGTCTGGGAAGAAGACCACAACTCCTTTCACCACAATCTCCTGTGCCAGGCTGCGGGTGGCTGGAGACTGCCCCTCCTCCTCTCTGTCCAATAGGGTGCACAGGTGACTCAGAATGGCAGATGACGTTGACTCGCTGCCGCCGTCTCCTTCCTTGGAAGGTTTCTCTGGCTGGATGAAAGGCAGAGCTGACTTCAGCAGCCACAACACCAGTAGCGAGAGGTGAGGATCTTCGGTCCTGTCATAGGAAGAGGCAAATGAAACACTACCAACAATATCATGTCCCACGTTGAGGCCAGAGGTAAGTAGATTCTCCATATCTTCTGAAGAGAAAGGTCTTCCACTGCCAAGTGAGGCTCCTGCAACAAAAAAGGCTGTACGCCTGCAGTATACACCAGAAGTCAACCAACAGAAATCATTGAGGGCTCAAGAGATGCCAAACGACGGCGATGCATCAGTCTAGCGAGGTCTTGCAGAAGAACTGACAGGAACACAAGGACTCTGCACAAAACCACACCCCCAGTCACACCTCCTTCTGTGTCGAGTGGAGCCAAGCTGTCCTGTGGAGGGAGAGGAATTTCAAAAGAGTGGAGACCTCACTCTTGGCCGTCATTTGACCATGATCTTGAAGAACTGAGCATCCCTTTCTTCCTCGGCACTGGTGCAGTGGCCAAACACACCCACTGCCTGCAGAGCCACAGCCTCCACCTCTTTCGCTGTGGTCCTCATCACCACCACAAGGCTCTTTCCTCTCCTGCTCACGTCAGGAGGCATGTCCATCTGAGGTCTGTGGAATCACACACATCACAATAGTCCAACACAACAGATTCCATTACGTTTCCTTGGAGAACTCCATTCGAGCTAGGAGGCCACTCCCTTCCTTCTCCTGTAGCAACTGGCAGTACTCCTCCTCATTCCAGCCTTTGTGGTTGTCCAGAGTCTCCAGCCATTCCTTCTGTGGCTCCTCCTCCAGCAGAAATAGGAGACAGAGAGACGCTGCGTTCTCAGCTGACGGGACCTGAACCACCAGTCTTGTGGGAGACATGACGAGGCCATCTTTCTGCTGAATCACCGCAGCCACTGTCGTCTTGCCAGCGCTCACGTAGGGAGCTGGTGGGTGCCAACGTTGATGCGGGCACACCAGGAGAGAGACAGACCCACCTGCTGAAGTGTTGGAGATATCATTAGTGAGGAGGTTCTCTGGCTTGTGGTTCTCATCTTTACTGCCTCCACTGCAGCTCACCACACTCAACATCACTGCTTCTGCTGCTTCCAGACACACACAACATCACAGCGTTGAAATTGTGAACAACTCACAATGCAGGAGATACTTTGTCTTCTTGACATCCTCCATATTGTGTAGCAATTTTTCCAATTTCAGTTCAGTACTCCTGAAACCTGTACACAGCAATCAGTGCAGAGCTTGTTAGTGAAGCCAACGTAGGTACCTTTTAAGATGTGGAGGCAGTCTAGGATGGAGTTCACATTGCCATGGGCTACAGAGAAAGTCAGCAAAACCTCAAGACTGTCAGTTGGAATTAAATCACTAGCCTCCTCGGCAGAACTGAGGAAAAATGGCAGGAGGTACAGGTCTGCAGGCGATACAGCCTAGAACAAACCTCAGTGTTCCTAGCATGGTCTGCATCTCTCTAATGACAAATGGAGAGAGGAACTTGGGCCTAGCATGAGAGGTTGGAGAAAGAACCAGGGGTTGCAGAGAACCCAGTGCAGATCTAAAGAAGTACAATAAATCTTTCAGTTGAGAGAAAGGCGTGAGGTATAGATACCTGGAGTGAGACATGAGCGTCTGTCTCAACTGTGGAGCCACAGGGAAAGCTGCCTGTGCCGTGGATGCCAGCAAATTGATGTACCACGTGGCCATTGTGTCAAGGACACTCGGCTTTTTATGCTCCTCCACAACCCTTCAACACACATGGCCTGAATCACTGCCATGGCAACCAAGTCAGTGCTTACTTTGTCCCTTTCACATGGAGTCCGCGGACCCTGCAATCACAGCCGTCGCTGTGGCAACCTCGTATGTTGATCTGCACATACTGGTAGACCCGACCGAGGTTTCTGACCAATAGCACAGGACCCGTCTTGTCTCGAGGAACCTGGACTGTCTTGATTTCTGCCAGTCTATTGTCTGAACTCCCGACAGAGACGACAATGGTACGGGGCATGTAGCTGTCATCACCAGACTGGACGCTCACAGCTAGTTCCCTCACTGCCATCCCCGGCAACATGCACAGCCTGCACACACACACAGACACACGTATCTCTCTCCCTCTTTCTGGGTGTGAGGCAGGGGTTAACCTGATCCAATGACTGCGAGGTGAACCACTAGACTGCCAGTAGCTATCCATTCGATTGTCTGTTAAACTGAAAATAAAAGGAAAAGTGGTTATGTAATGAGTGCCGAAGCCTCCACTGTGTAAACTAACTGTTTGATTTGGTGCTGGGAGCTAGAAGATTCTATTTTGGAGTAACACTTGCTGACCACAACTCTCTCCCTTGAGCTAAAGCCATCATCTTTCCCTCCTTCCTCCATAAAGTCTGCAGCCACAGGACCAGGTGTACAGCCAATTCGTATACCTAATTCTGACTCACCCTCTTCTCTCTGCAGCAGCATGTGGTATCTACCCTGAACCAACTTCTCTCTAGTTACTTGGTGGTTAATAATCTGGTGGAGTATGAAACAGTCAGTGCAGAATGGGGTGGGCGCTGACAGCTGTATACCTGGTTCATAGAGCTGACTACCAAACTTACAGGCTGCACCCTTCTTGCCTGCAGGAACTGTACCAACACATCACCAACAGAACGATAAGACTTCAGGTGCTTTAGCTAACCTGCACAAGCTTCCTGCCTGCCTCGCTTTGCCCACACTTGCTAGAGAGGTAGACCTCCAGAGGACCAGGCATCTGGTGGCAAGGCACAAGTGCCTGCATTGGATCAACTGGTCTATCCTTCAGCACCTGCATGCAGCTCAGCACTCAGTAAACATGCTACCCGAAAGTCTCGCAGCTAACCATCAGCAGATAAGCAATGTCTACATGGCCTTCACCCTCCCTGTCCACCTCACTGAAGAACTGTATCAGAAACACAAGCAGTGTACTAGAGACTGGATGCTGTATATGCTACCTCAACCGCCTCTTCTCTGGAAACTCCTTTCCCAGTCAAGTGTTCTACGACTTGCACCATGTTCACCGAGTACTGTGTGAAAAAAGTATAGGGTTCCCCATTGCTTCAATGTGTGTATCATAATGACCTCGTCCTTATCAGCAAGGCCACTCAGCCAACGAATCATGCCATCTTTTTTCCTGCTCAAGGCACTGCCTGGAGGCTCCCTGTGTCATGGTGGGGATTGTGATGGTACAGACCCCACAATACTCATTACCTGATGGCCAGCAGGGCCTTGTAGAGACTGTCTGGTTGGAACAGACTAGAAAAGTTGGTGAGGCTCTCGTCTGCTGGCAGACATAGCACCTGACAAGTGAGTGCGAGGTGTTAGTGGACATACCAGCAGTGGTGGAGTCCTCTCCTGTCTGCACCTGTGGAGACACACACTGTGACCACACCCCTACATAACACTCCAATCTTTTGCTCACAGGCAAGACGTGTTCCTCCTCTACGTCTTCCGAAGAGCTAGCATTCCCCATCCTGTGTTTCCACCTGCTCTCTCACCTACCGATCTTCAGTTCCTCTGATCCAAACACACAAAGAGAAGACGAAGGACGAGCTACAGAAAGGGGTGTGGCTCAAAAATGGGCGGGGTCGATCGTGTCGGGTCAGCTTTGGTCAAGTTGACGATGGAAGGTCTCTCGGCAGATGAAGCGGAGCAGTATGATCGTCAGATAAGGCTTTGGGGACTGGAGGCACAGAAGAGGTATTTGACCACAGTCTGTGAGCATCGTTAGAGGCTTGCGTGTCTGTGCAGGCTCCGCACATCGTCCGTGCTGGTGGTTGGAGCCAAAGGTTTGGGTGCTGAACTGTGCAAGAACATAGTACTGGCGGGCGTCAAGAGCCTGACACTTCTAGACCACGCTCTTGTGTCACCTTCTGATCTTGGGAATCGTTTTCTGGTCAGCAAAGATGGGGAGAGTGTAAGTCAATCAATGAGCAGTGTATAAGTATACTCGGTGTATATAGAGCAAGTAGCAGTGACAGTGGTAAATTTCTCTTGTCTATACAGAGAGCTAAGCAAGCAGTAGTGCAACTGCAAGCCCTCAATCCCAACGTAGATGTGCTGGCAGACACGGAGCCAGTGGGAGAGAAGGACGACACATTCTTCACCCAGTTCAGTGCGGTCTGTGTCAGTTGCTCTTCTCTGCCATTTCTCCTCCACATCAACAACGTCTGCAGAACCCATGGCATTAAATTTTTCTGTGGAGATGTGTGGGGTTTCTATGGTTACTTTCTCTCCGACCTTGGGGAGCATGAATACAGCATGTGAGGCCTGGAGTCGAAGGAATGGTGCTGGGTACAGGTTTCCTCTGTATGTATGTAGGGAGGAGGTCAGTGAGTACAGAGTGGGAGACGAGACACAGGCCGTGGCACCAGTCCAGGATGGGGAAAAGAAGAGTGTGAAAAAGGTGTGCATCCTAATTACATACAATAAAGGTGTGTACCCCAGCCCTCACACTACTCCTAATGCTGGCTCAGAGCTGTTCTTTCCCTGCCCTGCAAGAAGCCCTGGCGGCCAACTGGTCTTCAAAACCAGCACGTTACTTCAAGAGAACACCTCCAACCTGGTTCATCATTCGCAGTAAGGGCCAGTGTTCCCTGCAGACTAGAGAAACCTGCTGTTCCCCACAGCCCTGCAAGAATTTCGGGACTCCAACGGTGGTAGAGATCCACAGGAGGAGGGGGACAGAGAGGGACTGCTCTCTGCACAGGCTGCGGCTGCAGCAAAGCTAGGAATCAACCCTGACCTTATCCCCAACCACTTCTACCGGTATTTACACTCAGTCTTTGCCGTACAATGTGAGGTGTATAACTGGTGCAGGTTTTGCAACGGTGATCTTAGTCCTGTGTGTGCTATAGTCAGTGGAGTTATGGGACAAGAGGTCATCAAAGTCAGTAATGAACTCTGTGTGTGGAAAGAGTGCGTATTTACATCGTGCTGCACAGGCATTGTCAGGGAAAGACGAGCCGTATCAGAACTGCTTTCTATATGACGGAGTGAACAGTACAGGAATTGTAGAGTACATTGGTCCGTAGCTATTAAGTAGTCTTTGCTCACTGACATCAGTAACCAGCTCTGTCCACCAGATCTGAACAATATCATACCCCCATGATCACTATACAATGAGCCTGTTGCATTATTATACCTCTGTAACTGGCCATTGTATCACTAGCAGATAAGGTAGGTTTAGCTGCTCTGCTTCCACTAGCCTGCATGTGAATGGACTGAATTAAAATGTATTGCAACAATCTCTGTATACTCACGCGAACAACAGGCCTTTGTAGGCCAAGAAGGTCACAAATCTTGTTTCTTTTCTCTCTGACTACGTCCAAACCACTCTCCCTATGGATGTAACTGAGGGTGAATTCTGTCCATATTCTACAGTTTACCATTTGGTGTCAGCCAAAACTGAACACACTTCTTCTGCAACTTCTTCAGATATGACATCGTCATAAGTAATAATAGTGGCATAGAGTTGATCAGCTGCCCCTCTGCGGACCTAAAGCCACCAGATGTATGTACACTCTGTTGGACACAAGGGATCAGCTGACTGTGGGGAACTTGTGACAGAGATGTAGCATGAGTCTGTTGAGAGCGGTCGTCCTGACCCCAGGGAACTGCAGCAGACCGCAGTACCTGAAAGAAGAACACACTGAAACAGCCGCTCCTACCAACTCATTACATACACATTGATACTGGCCAGCAGCTTCTTAGTGTCAGCCGAGAGAGCAGTCTCTTCCTTTACCAGAGCAAGCAGAGCTCGGGGGAATGTGTGTCTGAAACAGGAGAGTTCATTATGTACGAGGGACAATTATGCCCTGAGACCATACGTAGTGAGAGGTAGGTATGCATCAAACACAGCATTTGACAGCAGAAGGTCCAGCGTCACCAGCAGAGCCTGGGTCACTCTGCACAGCAAATACACATCAAGGTTTCTTCTGGAGTGGTAACTGTGGTTACCTGGTCAAACGACTGTTTCTTCTGAATACCTCCAGTAGTGTGTCTGTGAAAGGCTCTAGAGTCTCCACACTGAGGTGTGACGGTAGAAAGTACATATCATTGTCACTGGATCACACTGACCTTCCAGAAACTCCTCTCAAGTAGTCCAACAAGGCAGCTCTTGAGGCCCTCACCTGAGTGTCGAGTCACACTTAGACAAGAGAGAGAGGAAGGGGGCAAGGTACCGTGGACTCAGTGAGGCCTCCACAGCTGATGACCAATCCTAGGAGAGTGTGGTAGGTGTACTCAGGCAGTGGCAGTAATTGGACAGTGAGAGGAAACGTTGTGGCAGCCACTGACCAGTTCACCTTCTCTTCCGCAGGTCTGGAGGCAGTAGTAACACAGTGTACACTTATTCAGGACGAGTACTAACTCTTGGAACAAAGAGGCAAGTCGGTCACGATGAGGGATTCCCTTTAGATGTGGTCTGGAAAGATTGAGGAGGTGCGGAGAGATAGGAACATTGTACACATGTCTTATGTACTTGCAGTTTAGAAGCAATTGAAGGCAGGAGAAAGCAATTGATCTTGTGCGATCAATTTTGCCATTAGCTTGTTGGAGGAAGAGGCAGACCATGTGTTGCACGTGAGGAGCAGCCATCTCTGACTGAGCACAGGAGGCCAGCAGCTGGCAAATTTCACTAGCAGCCGCCATAGCAGCCTCCCTCACACTAGAAGGGACATGAGGTAAATCGTCAGGTTAATCTCGTGCCCTCTTTGGACATCTTACACAACTCCAATGTCTCCACGAGCATCAGTGGTATAGTCATTCAAGGCAGCTGCCAGTGTGTGGAAGACTACATCTAAAGACGCTTGAGAGAGTCCCTTTTGCCCCACACCCACTGTCGTGCATACACTGGAAAACAGTATCATTATAGACAGAGCACCCAGAGCATGAGGCCAACCAGCTGATAGCTCTGACAGCGTCTCTACGAGATTCAGTGAACTGAGGTTCACAGCCCTCAATGTTTGAGGCCACACCCACTAATCCATCCAGCACAGCTGTGAGGGAGGAGGAGAGGAGAGGCTGGGTCAGAGCTCCCAAAGCCAGGCAGTACCCCATCCTGAATAGGAACAGGTGCAAATCGTAGCACATTAGGAGACGAGATGGTGGATACCTGGTGAATGGGAGTGGGCTGGAGAGACTAGAGAGACATGACTGGATGGTCCTGCTAGTCTCCTCCGGACTGAGGCTTACGTAGTGGGTTAAGCTCACAGCATGAAAAGCCGTCACTGCGGCCTCCTGTTCAGGTGATCACGTGACACACGACAAGAGAGAGAGGAGGACTGACTCTAATGGATTCCTCGGTGTGAGGAAGGTTGGCGTCTATCACTCTCTGCCAGCTGGCTGGGTAGTTGGAACATTACAATCATGAAGTGACAACAACAAGTGAGCACTGACATACCTAATTCAGAATGGCTGGTGATAGGGAGCTGGCACTCACACATCTTGGAGATGAAAGTGAGGGCAGCAGGTCTCATACACTCACCAGCTGCTCCTCTGAACACCCCGTGACCCTCCAGCTGAAAGCAGACGGAATTTTTTCAATTCCCTGTCAACCATGACCTGTTTGTGTACCTGCGGAACCAGTTGTACCAGTTGTTGAACCAGGTTCTCCCCTAGCACGGCAGACACAGGGGAGCACTTCAGGCTGCAGAGAGCAGTTGTCATTTGAGTCACAGCGTGGAGGGCTCCATGTCGCATCCTCGGATCAACACTCACAACCAGAGGCAACAGTTTTGGTATAACTGGAGAACAGGCTGTGATATATACAACCAATCCCTGGCCTGGGGTCACCTACCACTCTCTTGTATGTAGTGAGGCAGTCTGGGTGTGAGGTTGTGCAGAGCACGAGCTGCCAACTCCCTCAGAGAACTGTTATACCATTGTTACGTAACATCTTCACTGGCAGAGTTTCAAGTGACTATATACCTGTCCCAGTGTCCCAACTTGGTCTGCACCACGTGGTCAATCAGCGGCTGGGTATACTCAGTGTACTGAGCTACATAGGCACTGGAAAAATCAAAAGAGAAAGTAAAGAGAGAGAGACACACACACACACAAGCCTACCTGAGGTTGAGGTAAGAATTTGTGCGACTGCCTACTGCAAAGTAGTCAACATTAGTGAGGATGTCTATTCCGTGGGGAAATGTTCCCTGTCTGCCAACATTCTCCTGAAAGGCTGCCTGCAAAAATTACTTGAGGCAATAGTTTAAACATGCCTACACTTTCTGCCTCACAGCTGCAGCCCTCCTGCAGTTCACTTCTCTATCAAACAGAGTTGTCACCAGCAGGCCACTGGACAAAGGAAACCTTCACCACAATCCTTTGCAGTGCAGAGTGGCATGCCTGGCAAGTTGGGTGACATGAGGCTTCAACTGCTGTGGTTCATAGGCCCTTGCAAATGACCAGCACACATAGCAAGCAGCATCTCTGACATGGGCTCCTGGAGTGAATGTCACTGGATGGTGGGTAGCAAGAGGTGCAAGTCAACATACCCACACTGTGGGTTCCTCTCATTTCATCGTAGACCAGAGCCTCAAGAACAGCTGGAACAACTACAGAAAAACAAAAGTAGGAAGTGAAGATACCTGTGAGGATGGAAGTCTGACCGTCAGAAAGTCTCTTTGGAAGGAGAAGGCCTCTTCTGCCCAGCTCAGCCAAAGCCAGACAGCCTGAGTGAAGGTGCAACATGTTGCTCTGCAGCACAGACATAAGCCTGTACCTCCGTGCCAAGCTGAATCCCCTTCTCGAGCACTGCAACAAAGAAAGATACAACCTGCAGCCTACAGCCAGGAGACCCTAACCTGAAGCAAGTGAGCAGTGTCTGAAGGACGTCGTCAGCAAGGCTGCGAGGCAGTCTTCCTGTGACCCTCCCGATGCCTTTGGCAGACGACCACCTGACTACTGACTCCCAGTCCCGCAGACCACACAGCAGGATCTCCATCACCTCCTCCACCTCTTCCCTCACCTCCCACTGAAATAGGTGCTTCTCCAATGTACACACAAACAATGGGCGACTCTCTTACATCTTCTTCGTCTGCAGGTGTTGGGGCTACGGAGTTTTCCTGTTTTCCGCTGGGCTGACTGAGGGAGAGTGTGTCAGTAAGAGAGCGAAGTCCTCGCTGGTATCTCCACGACGCCACTCGAGCTGGCAGGAACACCATCCCCACACGCTGTACAGTGTCCCAATCAGTTCAGAACTAGCTAGTCAGGATTACATTAACCAACTTGTGCCAGCTTGATGCTGAGCTTTCGCAGCATAGCATTGCCGGAGTTGAGAGTGTTGCAGGTCTTGAGAGTTCTCAGGACATCAGATGCATGGTCCTCAATGTCCTCTCTCTTGCTCAGCTTGAAGAGAGAAGCCAGTGTGGCCAGAATTCCACAGGCTGCTGTCAGTCCCTCCCTGTCTTCCACTAACACATGCATAGCTATTATTGGGTTACCCAGGAACAAGTTAACATACATATACAAGAAGTTAGTTTGCTCTTGCACCACTCCAGAAAGCCAGTTAGTGTAAGACGGTGGACATCAGGACGAGTCAACACCCTAAGAGGGGGTTCTTAAGTTGAGGCTAATGTAGTGCATTGCCTACCTTGAAAGCAGAACCGGTGCAGCATCTCTGGCCTTGTCGGTCTGGAGAATGTAGTGCTGGCCAACAGCTATGATGCGGTTCAGCGTCACGTGTTGGTTCTGCTGCTCACCATCCATGAGACAGAGGTTGAACGGTATGATAGCAATGATGGACAGCCACAGCAAAAGAATATAGCGCGTTTCCCACGTCTGCAGATCACAGACTACTGGTGGTAATTATGTATGCAGATGTGTAGGATTCACCTGAGGCTGGCTGGGATCCTGGCTCTCCAGCAGACTCAGGACTGGCTCGAGGTCACTAACTTCGTGTGAGAACCATCGCAAGATCAATTTTGCCCCACGAACTTTCGACAGCAGGTAGAGGTAACGGAATGCCTGGTGACAGAGCAGCGATGGAGGCTGCTCTCTTGCCATTGACAGCAATCGAGACACCAGAGTTCCTGCACACACACACTGTCCCCTTGTTGCAGGCGGCTTGTTTAACACTTACCGAGGTGAGGATCCAGGAGATGAGGCTGCTCCTGGTATCTGTTCAAAATCACTACAACACTCGTTAGAGGGGGCTCACTGCGGCAGACAGTCACACTCACCAGTAAAACGCTCTTCGGCAATTTCTTTCCTGCGCAGGTCGCAGACTACTGTAGGCAGTTCATCGAGCGACTGCATGACCTCAGTACTCTCTGCAAACGTCTGCAGCGTTTCACCCTGCACCACGTCTTCCATCGCTGATAGACGGTGTGCACAAACTGGAATCGAATAGCGTCATTACGCAATGTCGATGTCATGATAAGGAGTAAAACAGTATATACGGTGAAGCCAAAGTCATGGGAAGGGGTGACACCAGCTCTTGCATTGCAGCATGTGAGACCACAGTCACAATGTCATCATCACAGTGGAGCCACTGCTCTGCATCTCGTATGAGGGCTGTGTAATGGCCACTGTGGCAGCTACTTCCAGTGTGTAACACCACTGCATGCAGCTGGTAAACAGAGCCACTGGCCAGGCAGTGTTTAGAGCTCCATGGCCTGAGACACAGAGTCATTGGGACAGCCACACTGTTGGCCACTTTACCAACTGCCTTTCCCCACTGCTGGACTGAAAATCGGTTCAAGTGCACAGTCAAGATGCTTGGTAGCTCAGAAAAGAAAATACTCCTTTCAGCCTCAACTAGGTGCATACATTTCTCACACCAAAACTTGTTATCCCCTGCCAGACGTTCTTGAGACATGAACTTTGAAAGACACCACGAGAGTGAGACGGTAGCTGCAGAACTGCTGCAGTTTGGCTGAGGAGAGGTAGAGGGAAAACCAGGCAGGCCATGGCTTGTGACAGGTAGAGTCACATGTAAGAAAGGGTCTGTTCTTCTGGTGAAATGATCACAATCAAAGCAACGTGTTTGGAACACAAGTTTCCCTTGGAAGAGAGCAGTAATAGCTGATGGTTCAGGTGTGACCAGGTACTTTCCACGAGTGGTTTCGGATGCTTTTGGTATATCACTGGGCATGCCCTCCGGAATTGGCTGAGGTTCACTTGTGAGTCCATCTGTGAGGAGATGATTGAGGAGCTCTTGAGCATCATGCTGAACTCCTTCTGCAAACAGTCCACTCTGCCTATCAACACAGAATTGTTCACTAGGCCACACATCAACAAAGAATTATGCCTACCTCAATAAGTGCAGGAGATTCCATGGACTAACAACATTTGTACTTCCATCCAAATCTTGAATCAACTACATACATGACTATAGCATTCTGTGATATAGCTACAACAATCCTTACTTTGTTGAAAGCACCCATCATTGGTTTCTCACCACAGACGTTCTGCTGCCTCTTTGCAGCCAGAGATACGCCAGGAGAATATCTCAGAGCCTGAAGGACAGCATTGCAGTAGCAAGTGTTTCCAAGATTGCGGAGTCCAGCAATGATTGGTTGTTGGTCCTTGCTCTCAGAACAGCGGGTAAACGATGGATTGAGGGAAAGGGCAGGTTGCTTTCTCTGTCGCCTCAGACAGAGCTTGTTTTTCTTGTCAGGTATCATTATGATTGGACCGTCCATCACGTGCAAAATTTCTTGGCTGCGCATGCGCATAACCGGTCGGCATTGCAGATCATCACCTTCATGTCACATGATAGTTTTTTCCGGCATGGTTTTCCAGGAATACTATCGAGGAACGCTATTGGGCAGTATTCACCCCCCAGGGCCTGCGCACTCTAGACGACGAGTCATGGAAACCACGCGATTTAGGAAGCCTCGGGCCCTGTAGTAGCGTTTCTCGCTGTGCCCGCAACGCCACAGCCCCAGGGCCTCGGCCTCCTAAATCCGCTTAGTTTCCTATGACTTCTTCTCCTAAACAACCTCCACTGAAGGAGAGTAGCCTATGGGGTACCGTAGGCGATAGAGTGAAGGCAAGTTGGCTCCGTCTGCGCGCGCGCGCGCACGGTTTGTCACGTGACGTTATTTACGTGCTTAGCTTTGTGTCCAAACTTGGGTTCACAAACTGAACACACCCGCCGCGGCTTGATACTGACTACTAGGCGGAGAGTCTGGCTGGCTACCGACTAAAGAGCGGATATTCCTAAAGAACTCTCCCTGTGTTACAAACAAACTGCTCGCAATGGGAAAGACGACGGAACTATTGTCTTTGCTGAAAACTGGTAATTCGGACGCTGCTCGACGCTTCATTGCAAAGTTCAAGAAAGGTGGTAAGTGGCTCCGACAGAGGGATGATCCCTACGGACCTCTGGATTAGCTTTCCTTCTTTATGTAGGAAAAAAGAAAGCGTTGGCCAAAGAGTTGAACGTTCCGGACGATAATGGGTGAGCGTTTGGGGGATGTGGCATGTGCAGGAAGTGATGAAGCCCTTGCAACTGTCCTTGCAGACAAACAGTCATACACTTCTGTGCTGCTCAGAACTTTGTGGAGTTTCTGCAGGACCTGGCAGAGCTGGGTGCATCCATTGACTTGGCTGACAATAAGGGTTAGTTGCCTATTTTACCTGAGGTGGTTTCCCCCATCAGTGGCAGGCTACTGCTGTAGGTTACACTCCACTCCACCTGGCATCTGCCTCCGGACGTACTAGTGCGGTAACTGCCCTCATTGGGATGGGTGCAGACCCCAATATTTCTTCCCGCACTGGAGACACTGCACTCCACCTTGCCTGTCATGGTGGCCATGCAACTTCGGTTTGTATTTGATAGCTTTTAAAAGTTATGTCTCTTTATTGTTTGAGCAGGTGGAGACGTTGGTTATGGAGAATGCCAACTGCACTATGCTGAATGTCTCTGGTTACACTCCTCTGGATCTAGCGTGTCAGAGTGGACATACCCAGGTACATCCATTACTTGTAAAGTAGATTGTGGGACTACCAAGGTAGGGGGGTGCATGCTATGTTTATGCAGTGTATGTATTTAAGTATGTATGTGGGTATGTGGGTGGGTCTGTGTAGGTGGCCTTCTGTATTTTCAGAACTGTCAGTGTGTGTACACATTCTTTAGGTTGTGAGTCTGTTGTTGCGCTCTGGCCAATTCTCAGCAGCCTACCTTCAGCGCTCTGACATGCCCCATACATCGCTGATGTTAGCAGCAAAGCAGGGACACAATGAATGCATTGCACTCCTTGTAAAGCATGGTTTTGATGTGAATCGGAAGCTACCAGGTGGCAATGGAGGAACAGCTCTGCATGAGGCTGCACTGCATGGGAAGGTGGACACTGTCCGCTACCTGATCCAGGTAAGTAACTCACTCTCAGACTAGACCACGATGTAATGTGTGTTCTCTTAGTGTGGGGTGGATGTGCAGAGAACTAATTCCCAAGGCCACACTGCACTAGACATTGTCAACATGTACGTGGATCCGCGAACTGCCAGCCTCATGAAGCAAGTCCTACAAGGTCAGTTATGCTGATAGATTTTCCTTAAGTTTGTGTGAAGTGAGTTCTGTTGGGACAGATGCCCTGGCACAACTCGCAAGGAGCAGGATAGCTCACCAGCATGCGACAGGCCAAGCCGCCACTTCCAGTCATCGTCCTCAACCTGGCCTGCAGCAACCCCCGGGATTCAGCTACTTTCCTGGCTCTGGACAGCCGGTCAGCCCTAGGAAACACTCTGTTGCTGTTTCCATCTTGTGTTGTGCTCTATTAATGTTCAGGTGGTCCACCGCCCGATGTCAGAGGAATCAACACAACACAGACAGTACGCTGTGTCCAGTCAGCGACAGACTAGTCATCCCTCTTCTGCATACCCCCATCACTCAAAGGGACAGTCGACTAGTCACCAAATTCAGTTCAACCCCCAAGTAGCAGGACATTCTCATCAATCTATGGTGCATCCCCATCAGTCAGCTGGGAATACCCACCAGTCAGCTGCCCATGCTCATCAGTCAGCTGGACATCCCCATCAGTCAGCTGTACATCCCCATCAGGCTACTGGACATCCCCACCAGTCAGCTGCCCATGCTCATCAGTCAGCTGGACATCCCCATCAGGCTACTGGTCATCCCCATCAGTCAGCTGCCCATGCTCATCAGTCAGCTGGACGTCCCCATCAGGCTACTGGACGTCCCCATCAGGCTACTGGACATCCCCATCAGGCTACTACTGGACATTCCCACCACCCTGCTGGTCCGACTGGGGGCTTTCCTTCCCCACCAATCAGTCGAAGTAATTTCTATACAGCTCAATCAGGTCTGAATACATGCAGTTTAACAACGGTATATGATAGCTCAGTTATGGACAATATTCAGGTCAGCCACCATCTGCTCAGGCCTATCAACAACAGCGTGTTGTTAACCAAGAGAGTTCTGGAATGGCTCAGGTATTAATACACGTTGTACACAATAATCCTCTCTCCCAACAGCCCTCTCCACCACAGAATGTACAGCACATTTATCCCAAGCCTGGCACTCCAGAGGCAGTCCGCAAGGCACCAGGAATTGGAGGTGATTTGGCTGCCATCATTGCTGCAAAGGCTGCTAGCCGTAAGCCTATTGTCAGTAGTCCTACGAGAAAGGAGTCTGCAGAATTGACGGATGAGCACTTTACTCGTAGCGCCACTCTCAGTGGAGAGCCAAGCATGCAAGAAGCTAGGTGAGACCAACTGGAGGTCCTTCTTCAGGGTTCCTGGGTGTTGCTTTTCTCTTTAGAAATAGTGCTCAGCACAGAAGAAGTAGTGTGTCAGATCGTAGCAGTGCTAGTCCTGAACGTGGCGACCCCCCTACCTTGCCTCGCCGTGCACAGGCTGGCCCACCGCCTTTCAAACCGGTCCCCCCTCCAAATGAGTCAAGAGGGAAAGGTGCAGATTATAAGGTATGGTAAGATGGGTGTAATGTCATTTTCAGTAGGTGCAGGTGGTGAATTGGAAAGCAGCAAGCGCCATATGTTTAGCAGTGACTCAGAGAGACTGCAAGCACCCAAACCTCAACCCACGGCCCCTCCCCCTGTATCAGAGGAGAACGAGCTAATGGCGAAGTTGAAGCGACGTCAAAACAAGATAATAGAGGCTGAGCAGACTGCACCAGAGCCAGTGCCAGAGGAAGCTAGAGAGGAGGAAGAGCCTGTTCAACCAAAGCCACCTCCACCTCCCCAAAGAAAGACTCCAACATTGAACAGTGTCCCCCAGCAGAGCGATGCACAAGAGCAGGCAGCACCACAAGAACCTGTGTTAGCAAAGCAGAAGAAAGCCAAACCTCCACCTCCCAAACCCAAAGATGCTGAGGCAGAAATGTCTCCATGGCAGCAAGAACTAGCAGCACGCAGAGCAAGGATGGCTGACCACGAGAGAGAGTCTGAACTAGAGCAGGGAGGCGACAAAGACAGTCAGTCTCAAGAGAAACCTGATCCAATTCCAAAACCAGCTCCCAAACCCAAGCGCAACATGGCACCTCCTTCAGGTGCCAAGCCTGCGATTCCATCCCCAGCCCAGGAGCAGTCTGTCTCACTCCAGCTCCTGAACCCACGTCTTGTGCCATCTCCTGTAGTTCCCAGAACTGCTGAGCCACCAGAAGACACACTGCCTTCTGCTGTGCCTCCAGTCATCCCAGTGAAAAGAGAGCCAGTCACAGTTGTCGTTGAAGAGCCTGAGCCTCCTGCCATGCTTAGTGAGGTCTCCACAGTGGTTACTGACCAGCGTAAGCCATTCGCTACCAGTTTCCCTTGCATGTTGTTGAACTTTTTTTTTGGTGCGTGTAGTGTCCCGCAGCACAAGTATGAGCTCCTTGACAACAGCCACTGGCTCGGTTAGTTTGTTTATATTAGCTTACTGCTCGGTTTAAACTGCAGTTTGTTTATGCAGCCTCAGCTGTCATGCGTAGAGCACATGCCAGTTTCAGAATGGCTCACAAGTTACAAGTTGGCCGACTATGTTACTGTTTTTGAGGCAAATGGCTATGATACTACTGAATTGACGGTTGGCATAACGCAGGACGAGCTGCAAGAGATGGGTGTTACTAAGATAGGTCATCGCAAGAAGTTGATTACGGCACTAGCCAGCTGGCCTCAAAAAGATCATTTCTTTCATGTGAAGCCTGTATGTGTTTGGTGTTCAATAAAGATGCTGCCATGACTGATTTCTGTGTGGTGTCCAGGAGAGTGTCTCTGTGTGGCTGAGTGTGTTGAAGATGTCTCAGTACGAGGAGACGTTGTTGGAGGCAGGTTACGATGATGTCGACTTCATCTGTGACATGACTCTGGATGACCTACACGATATCGGTATCACTAAGAAAGGTGCAGTTTTCAGCTGCATGCATACATAGGCAAAAACCGTGCTCCCTTCTTGTGTTCAGGCCATGTGAAGCGGCTGCTGCAGGGAATTGGAGAGCTGACAGACCTCGTAAAAAATTATCTGTCTCGTGTGGAGCACCACCCAGTCTTGCCATCAGCCCAGCTCACTGAACTGAACAGCAACCCACTCACAACCACTTCAGAGCACATTTTACCTCCTCCAGACAGCTGGACAGATGGAGCTCCAGAGATTCCTGAAAAAGTTGACTTCAGTCGAATGAGAGGACTGTTGGAGATGAAGATGGGTGTTAATCGGGTGTTGGAGTCTGAGAGTGAAGCAGCAACTGGGACTATCCCCCTCCTGGGTGTCTCCGTGCCACCTGAGGACAAGCTGGCAGATACTAGTGAGTCGCCCTCACCTGTCCCCCCAAACCTACCTCCGAAAAGGAGCACTCGGCCGAAAGGAGGTATGCAAATTGAGTTGATTACATAATTATGTTTGCTGGATGAGCAGGAAAGGAGGAGTTTCATTCTGGCGCAGCAAAATCATTCAGTGTTGAAGATATCACTGCTGCACTTGGTGTAGGTTCTTTCTCCAGTGGCGCATGAGATATTATTTTAATGAAGTCTTCGTTAACGATAGGAAAAAGTTCACAAACAAGAAGCAGTTGCGGCTGGTATGCAGAATGAATTTGATGAGCTGAATACTGCACTTGGGTTTACTGATGAAGATCAACATGTAGCAGAAGAACCAGAACCTCAGTGAGTTAACCAACCTCGCTATTAATCTACAATACAATGTCGTGTTCTTGTACATTACAGGCCTGACCAGCTATTGGCTGATATAGATGATATGCTTGCAGATCTGACGACACATTTGGATTTCATGATCCCAGGATCAACATGAAACTAAATTATTTCACTTTTGTGCCACTTAATTGAGTTTTTGTAGAGATATAAACAACATTGGAGAGCGGCGGAAATGTAATGAGGATTGAGGAATGTAGGCGAGATTCAAGGATTAAGGAGAAATCATCGACGGAGATTGAAAATTCAAACATGTACGTAAGTAAGCTTGAAATATTACCCTGCCATTATGTGACCGTCCACGCGAAAACCAGGCATAAGTCGGCAAAAATATTTTTCGAGATTTCACCGAATTTCGCGTTTTCTACCCTTTTGCCGTGCTCGTTCAAAATTTGGTGCGGATGACCCGTTCCATTCTGGAGATATAGTTGCTTTTGTACCCGGGAGTCAGACCTTCGAGATCCGAGAAACGGCAATTTTTCTACGTGGAGAAATCTTTCCGCATACGCGCTCCGTTACACGTCGTGCGTTGACACGCCCCCTAAAGCCGCTCGCACGGTTGTGGAACGAGGCTATCTCTCGTGGAAACGAAGAAGACAGGCTCAACGAAGGTAGCAGAAAAGCTTTTAGCATCGTTGGTAACCCTAGCTCCTCGTTAGCAGTTGTTTTTTTGACGGCCCGTAAATTTCTCCGCGTAATTCCCGTGCGTTTACGGGGCGCGTGGAGTTCGACGTAGCCTACTTCGAGGCGCCGCCACGGCCCTGGCGAGCGAGTTTCGACGCTCTAAAGTATATAGCTGTCTTCTAGATAGATGTAGGTCCTTCTCCGTTAAAAAAAGTCTGAATCGCGCGGTACCCGCTGTTTCGACTTGTAAGGCTGTTTACTAAAACTCAATTTCGCCGACTTTTTCGCGTGTAGGGTCACATATACGTATGGTCTTCACTCATAAAAACTGAGACATTATACATACAAGAGAGCATAATATACCAGAAGTGAACTGCATGCCAGACACAATGGCATGGCATATATAAACAATAATAATTGTTTAGAGTACACAAAATTAATATGTCAGAACTATATAGCGCAAAGAAGAGAATGTGCTGAATACCTGCAAAACAAGAAAAAGCCAGGAACAATCTCCAGGGGTTATCCCCCAGAGATGGTTTTCGTCCCTTATGTTTATAGTGGGAGGACTCATCAGCTGGCCCCACTGCATTGTTACTGGACACACAAAACGGTATGGTTTGTGCCTGGCTCTTGCTATTACCATTTTGTGTGTGTTAAACAGAATCCAGTAATACCTTTACAGGGAAAGTTGTTTTGTTGTCACCACTTCATGGTGATCTGCTCTGGTTATATATGAGAGAGGGAGAGAGTGTGTAATGATAAACATTGTGTTATTCTTTCCTGGGTAAACACATGGTAGTAGGGGTAAGGGGATAAAAGAACAGCAACAACTGTGAGTAAACATGGACCAGGTTGCAGTTGTTGCTGTGGTGGCTCACTAGATGACTAAGTCATTCCGAGTGACTCTAGTGACTCAACGACTGTTCACTGTGCCTAGGGACTGTAGTGAATTACAGTGTTAAAGCAACAGAGTTAAAGAAAAGTTTCAGTGCCATCTCAGGAGCAGCCTTATACCTGCAGTGAAAAGGTTGGGTCTTCACAGGGAGACTCCACGTACATATTCAGAGCATATCAGAAGAGTAGCATAATTAGATATCACACCTTGCACATAGACAAAATGTTATAAGGCTAAACCTACATGTGGCGATCAGGATCAACCAATACA